CCGAGCAATGCAGCATAATAGAAGATACTGTCCATAATGAAATTTCTTTCGCTAATGGACTTACTGCCAGTAGGGAGATAAATATTGAACACGTAGCACCCGGTTTGCTGAAAAGGGAAAAAGAGCACTTGGCAGCAAGCACGGATGGAATCGAAATCTTGAGGAATACTAACAGGGACGCACCCGCATCCCTTCTTGACGGCACAAGCTAGACCCCCAGTTGGCTGTCTAAACCCGGAAACAACGCCACGAAGCTTTTTGGGGGAGGGTTGGGGGCCTAGCAACAAATCCCATCCGTACTCATTGAACTTACGAGCGAGCGAGCTTTATTTGTAGTCGGGAATACGACTTTCCTGCATACAAATGCAGTGTAAGTCTTCGATGTCGAGGTTCGCGATTCTTTTGCTGTGTTTCACGCATGACGTTACGTTAGCACTCGCAAATGAAATAGGCCCTTCGCCCTTGTAACCTTTACAGGGGGAGAATACGATCCATAGGAATGGCTTGGGATTACATAAAATAGCTTTGCAGACCAGATCAAACCCACCTTGCAGGTGGCATGCAACATCTCCGCTTCGGGAGTATACAAGATTGCGCTGTGCATCAGCGACAGATATAGGATTAACAACATAATTGGGAAGGCAGCGCTGAGAAACGCTATCGACTCCCTTGCGTAAATGGCACTCACCGCCAGTATGCTGCGTGGAGCATGAGGTGCTGCACACAACGCAAAATGAAGCCAATATAGTAGCCCTAAAGAGACCATTCAAGGCAAACCTGTACAGCCGGCAAACCCCTAACCTGCACAAAAGGGAAAACCGTTTACCTAAAGGACTACAGAACTGGGTACCTGACGGTGAGCTCCCTAGAGAAACTTCCTGACAAATGCGTCCACAAACGCACTTGCGTTGTCCATGCTGAGCATGGCAAGAAAAGTACGACGAAAACTCCTCACAAGGTCCCTGGGCACAAATAAATGCGTACTCAAAATCACGGCCACGCCTAGCAAGGATCACAACTATACAGAGGACCAGCAATCTTCTCTTCAATACGCGCCGTGTTGCGCGATATTTTCTCTTTTGGAGCCTACCTGGACTAAGTCGAGGATGGCCCGAAGAAAATAGAAAAAGTATCATTAAAACAAAGAACCCCGCAACACAGACTCTATTGAAGACGAAGTAGCAAAGATACAAAACTGAGCCCATGGGTGCTACTTTTTTTGCACTTTCGGAGGTGGGGATTTCAGCGGCGAGCTTGTCGTAGAAGCTGCTGCTGCCTGCATATCTTTCATTTCCTGGAGGGCCTACATCATATCACGAAATCCGCTGAGGATCTAGGGCTTCATATCGGCCTGATCCGACTGAACAACTTTGATAGTGGACGTGATTTCACCCATCTGCTTCTCCAGCATCTCAACCCTGGCGAGCAGTTCCGGATTTGGCGGCGGTGGTGGCAATAGGGATTGGCCAGCGTAGGGCCTAACCCCGGGCACTGAAGGCAGACTGCTCGGCAAAGAAGAAGAAGGAGTCGCTTGCGAGGCTGGCACGGCTTGGCTGAGCACAACACGAGTGGTGTCCTTGCGCTTCATCATTGGCTTCTCCTCGCGGGAGATAAGCAGGCTGCCGAGGTTGGCGAAAACCTTGGTTTGCTTTGGCTCAGTCTCGCAGGCCGCAATTGCTGATGCAAGCTCGGCCAGATGCCACACCCTGAGCGGCACCACTTCCCAACCGATCTCTCGCAACACATCCCGTACAACACCAAGTGTGGTACCAGCTGGTAATCCTTGGACACGGTAAGGAAGCTTGCACTTCGCACCGAGATTGCCGGCATCGAACCTTTCGTCTTGGGGAAACCAAAACTTGCGGGCTTCTGCGAGCTTCTCTGAACAGACCCTGGTATACACTGCCCCATGGCTAGCAAAGACACCGTAACTGAACTCATGGCTCTCTGCGATCTTGGAGTAGTCCGCCAAATTGGCTTCACCGAAAATCCTCAAGATCTCGATGTTCTCCTCTTGTGGGTCTCCTGGGGATCTTGCTGCGCGAAGTTGAATGGAATTTTGCTCACTCTTTTTATAGACATAGTTCCGCGATATTTTCGGGATTTGAATGCGTTTCGCCAGATATCCATCTTTCGCGTTGGTTCTGCGAAGGACTGAACGGTCTCTGATTCCATTGCCTGGGACCAAGGACTCAATATATAAGTCGAAGGCCTCCCTATTGCCGAAGGCCTGCCAATCAGTCAGGGCCGCATCTGTCTTACGAAGCTCAACAAGTAAGACAATCTTGGGATCACTTTCCAAATCCAAGGCAGTGTCGCTGTGCGTAGGGCAAATCCAGTCGGACTCATCCAAGCTCAGGTTCACTAGGGTAACAGCTCTGGATTCAGTGGAGTGAGCAATCGCATCCCATATCGTAACCGCATCTTCGCTCATCTTGTTGCTCTCAAAACCCAGGATGACAACTTTGTCGCAGATGAACCCTTTCAAGATAGCAGCAAATGGCCCACTGGTCCGAAACATGCGCCAATCTTACAACCGCTGGAATGTCATGAAGGCGAAGCCACTTGAACTCTCATGAAGTTGGTCTACGGGAACGCACTTGAAACCTTTGCACGTGGATCCATTGCATAGCGACAGCTCCTCAACATCTGCTAGGCAAACCCCGGTTTTACCTGCGGTCGACTCCCATGGAGAGCGTTTGGCAAGAGATGCCGGCATGGCAATGACATAATCACCCAATAAAGAAGGATCTGCTATAAGAAAGGTCTCCAAAAGGAGAGCTACCCGAAAAAGGAGGGTGGTCCATCCTCGGTACATGGCAATAGACAATAACAATACTAGTAAAGGTAAGTTTTAGCTCAATCCACCCCCTGATTCCCAGCTAGCACGACCCCCTGATTACCAGCTAGCACGACGAAGACGTACTTTCCTACGCAGACCCTGGGGTCACGCCTTGGCATCCTGAACCAAGACAGCTATTGAATTATGCCTAATATAGTAGATCTAATGGTTAATGCTCTAAGTTGCAAATAACCTTTCAGAATAGCACTTCAAAGGCTTCATATCGGATTCCTAGCTGCCACAACTTTTCTTCCATATTGGGGAAGGATAAGTGCATATGAATAGAGTGGGCATTTCATTGCTCGCCATCTATCTTTTTTTAAAATCCAATAATCTCCCTCATCTATTTTTAATTTTTAGATATTCTACTCAATTATGATGAATCATATAAAGGATTTATATATATATATATATAGTATGGCATGCTCGTATGCCATAGAAGATGCTAGATATCCTATTGGATCGGCAGATGCAAAAAATCATTTGGAGACTTTCTATCTATATATTGGAAGTAGCCAACCTCGCCCCATATTCTTTAAATGCGGGCGTATCATCGCCCATATGTAAAAAATATAGAAGATCTATTAAATATCAGAGAAGCCAAAGCAGCTTAGGAGAAATCGCAATTTCCATATCCCGATATTTGACTCCCCATAACTTAAGAAGCTTCATATGAATTTAGAATGAATATGATTTTTCGTAGATATAATATGGTCCGCATATTTATCAACAAATGAATATTACGATCTGCCAAATGCGCTGCTTACGACAGAATGTGCGAAGTCAGAATATAAGACTATTATCTTTTATATAGATATCTATCTAAATTTCATTCAAGGATACTTGAGAATATAGAATGAATAATATATATTCCCTAAACCTAGATACGAATATATCAAGATGCCAAGCATATTTGTTATTCAAATATTGCCATTCAAATATATGATTATTAATTTAAGCTCGCCCATAGAGCATATAAGAGTAACTATCAATAAATTGCATCAGGGCATAATATTTTATGGTCATACCATATATATCTTAGTATTTTCATATGCTGAATAATAATCACTATTTTCTTGAAATTTTTTTCATATAAAAATATTTGAGAATACATTTTTGACTATAAAATATGGGGTCCGCAATACATTAAACTCTAAATATGAAAATTATTTAAATGAATAAATAAAATATAAATAATCATCTAATAATTCGTATAAATATATTCAAATAAATAAATATTCAATTATGAAGAAATATATCTAATATTATCCCAAATCATATAGATAATAGAAAAATCTATCTTTAGAAATATCATCATAATATTTCGAATAAAATACTTGGCATATAATCTTGAGTTCTCGAAAGAATTCCTATATTCAATTCTTAAATCGAATTTAGAAGATTATAATATCTTTGAATATAATTAGTGAAATAGTAAAAAATATCCAAAAATGAGTTAAATATAAAATACGAATCCAATATCAATCAAAATTTCTATAGAATATATATTTAAATCAAATGCAAATATTCAATCCCGGCGATATTCGAAAGAGGTCGAGATTTTTGAATATCTTTCTCAATTCTTGGGATCTTCAATTATGGCGGATCGACGTCAAGAGATCCGTAGCATCTAAAAGGATTTGTCAGGAGCCGATAGAGAGCCTAGCCCGTAATTTTTGAAAATAATGTGATGCAATTGTAATTATCCCTTACAAAAGACAAGCGATAGGTGCGGGGAGAGGTAACAACGACCAAAATTTCCGAAAATTTGCCGCCCGTGTTCGGCCAAAACTCTCGAATATTTGAAAGCCTCTAGCTTTTGCGAGGTCTTTTGATTTCCGAAGTTTTTATGGAGGCCTCTAGCTTGCCGGAAGGTCGTAAGATTTCCGGAATCTTAAAGCCCCGCAAGTGAGCTTGCTGAGTGAACGCTTGTCGTTCGGCAGTAGTTTGCGCGTTGATCAAGGGTGTTTTTAGGCATGCTGCACACACCCGTCTACATTTCAGATTGCTAGGCCTGGAATGACTCCCCACTTCCTTCTTTTTCTGGTGCTGTCTGTACTGCTCTGTACAACGCTTGGCCATCGATTTGGCCAAGGGCCCTAACGGGAGTTTGCACCTTGCTTATGTTTCTCGGCATTACCATGTTCTGGGTCGTCAATCATCTGCTACTTTCCAGCCTGGGCATGTCCAATCTGCATGATGGTCCATGCTGCTGCATTGCAGGCTCCGGGGCCGCGGCGTTGACCCTACACCATGAAGCTCCAAGATAGCATTGCCGCAGTCCTGTACCTCTTCAGATTTGAAGCTCTGAACTACCTTCCTAAGACGCTCTAGCCAGACAGGGCACAACTCGCGCTGAAGCGCCGAACTGCTGCGCCAGCCACAAAGCCTCAGGGCGAAAGAAACATAGGTTGCCCTTTACGTGTAACAAAACACATTCAAATCTTACCGAGAAGCTGTTTGGAGGTGCAAACATCGTGTGGCCTTTCCCAGCCGCAGTCGTGAACAGCCCTTTGCCAGGGCCATGAAAACCACCAGTTGGTCCTCGCACGGAAGCTGACTCACGATGGCTCCATGGGCCTCCACAACACTACCACCACAGCGACCGACAACGACGAGATCAACACGAATGACTACTACCACTACTCTTCCTGAAGACTACCGGTACCACTACGTACCAGCAAAACACCAAGCACGACAAAGGCTGCAGTTTGAATTGCTCCTCCAAGTGCCCATCCACAGCGCCACCTCCGTGGAAGAAATCCAATCCCTTTCGCACAGCCTCTTCCCCAACTCTTTCAGCTGAAGTCCCTTTCCGGCCCATAGAATCACCTCCGAAGATGCTATGCTCTGCATGGATGGCAACCACCACCCCGCAGGCATCACTACCATTCGCTGAGGGGCAATTGAAGGAATTCCAAAGCACCTGGGTCTCGGGCAAGTGCTCCTTGAGCACAACGCTAGCCCCTGCTGCACGCTTCTTCATGCTGCCTTCCACCATGCGGTTCAAGACGTTGGGGGGAACTCCTGTAGAGCTGAATGCTGTGGCACACACACTCCGAACGACTCCTGTATCCAGGAGCTCTATGGGTTGAAGCGGCCAACAGGGCGCAGCCGCCACTATCACAACCTCACCGCCGCCATTTGCAAAGCCTTTTTTATGAACATCCATTTCGACCGTGATGCCAAACAAGCGACGAAGCATCGGGAATAGGACCAGCTGCACGTACTCGACTTGCGGCGCGGTTACTTGGCCGTCTGGCGAGATAACATTCGTGCCACCTTGCAAAGTGACTTGCACAGCCTGTCCACAAGAAGCAGACCTGGCCAGCATTACAGGCAACAAAGCCTGAAGCATCAACATTGTGGAGCCACCTGTGCCCGCATCGACCAAAAACGATTCTTCTGAGCAAGAAGGAGCCTTATGAGGTTCCGGGACGAACCATACTGAGCTGCTACTCCCATGAAGTCCGTCGCAAGTGCCCCCTGATACTTGGCAGACACCCTTGATGGCGGCTATGTGCGAGGGCATTAGGCCGGCTGGATTGTGATTTCCGCGGACGTTACGAATGTGAATCCGGGTGCCGAAGACCGCAGCATAGGCAACAGCATTGCCTGACGTGTTGACTGAATTATTTAAGACTTTGCTAAATCCATTTGCTGATTTGCCTTTCAAGACATTGATAATTCGGTTGGGCCCATGCTGATACTTTCAAGTTCTCATGCGCCGCAACAGCAGTGGCGCGAATGCCTGCTGAAAGAACAGTGGGACAAACATGATCGACGACCAAGGACGCCTTGTGATCATTGGTGCAGAGATTCGTCTGGAACCTGTCCCCTCTGATCAAGCCGAGGGCTTGGAAGGCAAGGCGCACGGGACAGCACTTTTCCATGCGCGAGATTATCAGAACTCAAGGGGCCCCTTAAAAGGCAGCGGTTCACACAAGACGGATGACGCTTGGCCAAAGAAGTCTACCCGCTGCATGCACTAAATTGTCACGGGTAATATTTTAAGTTGGCCTAAGCATCATCCCTAAGCGTGACCACTGGCTTTTGGAGCCACTCGTGAAGCGTAAGCTGCAATTCTGCGCTATGCTTCGTTAGGCCGTCGGCCCATTGAAGAAAAGTGGGGACCCACCTGATGCGTTCTGCATCCACGACCTCCTGTATAGCCCTCACGTTCACAAGGGACCTCTTGTCCGCAAGGTTGGGAGTATCACTGACCACTACGTCATACAGGGACTTGGCGTCCACGACGTGGAGGTGAAGAAGTCGGTGCGAGCAGCGGTGAGCAGGGACGTTGTAGAGCAGTTCAGCGAGGAACATGTTGAGGTAGCATCCCCTGTCGCAGCCTTCATCGGCTGCGCTTGCCTCGGCCGCCAGCGTCGAGCGGCAGACCCTTGTTGAGCGCCCCGAGCGCCAGTCGAGGACGGCCGCCGGAGTCGTCTTGTGAAGTGCGGTGTGGGAGGTCAAGAGAACCAGCACACCCAGTTGAGAGCGACAAAGCTCCGCATTTGCCCAAGAAGCGTCGGAGTAGGTCACGATGACGCTGCCGCGGTTCAAGGCGACGTCCTCGATGACGATGCCGTCCTGCTTCGTGGCTCGGGCGAACTCGAGGGCCTGGTAGAGGGACTTCAAGTCGGCCACGGTAGTCTTGTCCCCCTTGTTGGCAAGGCTATTCGTGGCGGACAGCTCTGGCCGAGTCTGGGTCGAAAGCCATTGCATGCAACCGGACATGCTTCGGAACTCCGCCTTCTGTTCTGCCGTCAGGGTTGCGTCCAAGTCTGCGCCTCTGGGGATCTTGCCCATGGACAGGCCGTCGATGCACTCGGCCTGGCAAAGGTGGAGGTAGAAGCGCCCATTGTTCCGCTGGCGCAGCGAAATCTGCTTGCCCTTAAAGGTGAACTCCTTGTTGGGCTCGACCCGGTTGAGTGAACCCCACTTAAAGGATTCCCACACAGGTTCGATTGAACAGTCTTCCCTGTGAACGCCGAGGAAATCGTCCACGTAGACGAGGATGATCGAAATCAGTTCATCCTGGTCATTAAAGAGGAGGAAGACCATGCGGTCGAAGGAGTGCTGCCGATATCCAAGCTTCTTAAGCCTCTGGATCACGGTATTCGCCCACAAGCGCGGTGCGTTCGCTAGCCCATAGATGTTGGTCAGGACCAGGTACAAGGGTGCCCTCCAGCATCCAGTGGCTCGAGTTACGCCATCGTCAGGCGGCTTCAAGTAGAGGGGCAAGGTCCTCTCTGAGGCAGGCTGCTCCCCTTGCAAGAAGGCGGTGGCAGCATCCCCTGTCCAGCCGAACCATTTCTTTTTGGTGCCGGCAAAGTCCTTGTTGCTGCCGGCCGTCAAGACAAGGAACAGCACGTGTTCGCTGGTCCGGTTCGGGGTCGGGCATTCCCGATTGAGACGCCGGAGGTCGGGATCACAGTGTCCCAGGGCCACGACGCGGCATTTTGCCCGCAGGGGTCCAAGTCCCTTGGCTTTGTCCCGGAAGCAGCTGCGTGTCCTCAGCACACGTTTGGCGAGGATCTTGTCTTTCAAGACGTCGCTGGCCTCCTGATGGTTAAGGGCCTTCACCGAGCGCCACTCCATCCAGGAAGAGTGCTCCTTCTGCACCGCCTCCTTGTAAGCCTCCAGCTGAGGGGGCGGCATCTCCATGATTTTGCGCCATGGAATCTCACGATCCAAAGCTTTGGCTTCCATACGGGACATGCCTTGCCTTGAGCTCGAAGTCGGCGGGGCATCGTCCCAATCGGAGTCTGAGGTGTCGACCTCCTGCGCAGGCTTGTCTGTGGCCAACACATCGTCGCTCCGATAGGAGGAGGCAAGGTAGGCCTGGTAGAACTGGTTGCAGCTCGGTCCGTAGAACTCGCCGAGGGAGGTTCCGGAAGGAGCTCGGTGGAGAAGTCCATCTTCCTCGTAGAGGTTGCCAGTTAAGGATTCAAAGGTCCGCTTGGCTGGCAGCAGGCCCGTTACTCCTGAAGTCGCAGAGCTGGTCACCGGTGTTGTAGGAGCCCTGGAGGTGGCAGAAGTCGAAGGTGGCGCCACCTGTCCAGAGTCTGCAGGAGTGGGAGGCAGTGGCCCAAGTAAAGCTGCTGGAGTCTCGGATAGGTCAGCGGCAGGTGAAGGAACGTAGTCGCGGACATCGTCAGGTAGTTCAGCGGTTTCTGTCGTGTTCGGCTCCAGTGCGAGGTCTGTTGCTATCTCCGGAGGTGGCAGCTGCGCTTGTCCTTCTTGAAGCTGTGGAAGTTCTGGTAGTCCAGGAAGTTCCTCGTAGGGAGCGCTGAAGTCAGGAGAGAGAAGCTCGGGAAGTCGTTCTGCAGGCTCCAAAGCCGGCGCTTGTCCTTCTTGAAGCTGCGGAAGTTCTGGTAGTCCAGGAGGTAAGGCAGGTCTGGGCGTCGAGGCCGTAGTCAAAGGCGCTGGTGACCGGCTTCTCCGTGGTGTCCTTGGCATAGAGTTGCTTCGGCGTGCGCCCTGCATAACGTCTCCAAGTCGAGCGTACACATACGTATTATTGATGGTGCCGGACAGCTGTGCTTGAGCTTGTGGTGGTTCAGGTGTGGGGACAGGCGTCCCAGGAGCCCACGAAGCAGCCGCGTCAAGTCTTTGCTGGCCGGCGATTTGTGAAGAGGCCGCGGCGAGGAGCTCGTCGTCGGCCTGGTAGTTCATGAGGAAGTCGTCTTCGCCAAGGACCCGGTGAAGAGGCTGTGCTTCAAGCATCTCCTCTTCAGGCGGAGGCGGTCCAGTCTCATCTGCCCAAAGGCTTTCAGAGAGTGCCTTGCTGGCGTCTTTGAGGGCGGTCACGTCCTGCTCCGTAGGAACCCATTGTTCAAAACCAACAGCCGATCGAAGTTGCTCGGTGGCCACCAGGGCGGTGGTTGTTCCGGACCTCACCCAGGCCAACTTGGTTGGGGCAGACGGGTCCCATGACAGGAATTTGGCCGTAACCCAGCCACCCCTGTTTTTCTGTCCCCGGCGTCGCCACCTCCAAAAGCAGCATGGGCTGCCTGGCTCCAACTCCGGGATCCGGACGCGCCTTGTTTTCCGAAGGATCGCCCATCGACTGTTGTACGTTCAAGTCCGCGATCGCCTTGACCGCTTCCGAGCGGACCCTTTCCGCTGTGGCCGCCGGATCGGTCGCCGGGGAGACCGCCAATGCCTGGTTGTCCATGAACAGCCCGCCGGGAAGTCGAGGCACTCTTCCAAAGACCGCCTGGAAAGCCGACCTGCCCCTGCTGAGTACCATGCTGTTAACGGCGTGGAGCGACGGGGCAATGAGCAGGTCCATCTCCGAGGCTGAGGTCGCAGAAAAGGTGTCCACCAGCTTCTCGAGGACGGTGCGCAGAAAGGCGTTCTGGCGCTCCACGTGGGCGATTTTCCAGTGTGCGTCAGGCGGGCAGTGCTCCACCAAGGTGCCATGTGACTCCAGACGGTTCTGGAAGTCGCCTTGGAAACATCCATCCGGATCTGCCGCCACCAGGACAGGGAGTGTATAGGGTCGAAGCCAGACTCGTTCAAAGGCCTCATAGGCAATCTCTGGGGTGCGGCCAAGAAGGACGGCAGCCTGATGAAAGCGAGTCGCCACGTCCACCATGCCGAGCACCATCACATTCTCGCCGTCCAGCTTCCTGATGTAGAAGATGTCGAGTTCAACTCGGTCACCAAACTGCGTCACAGAGGAAGGGGTGGCTGAAGGTGGTGGTGCCTGAGGTGACCTGAGGCGGTCGCAGGTAGCACATTTAAGCTTCGTGTGCGGAGGGGCTGCCTTGGTGGCACGCCAATCTGACCAGTTCCTCCGCCGTGGGGTGTCCAAGGTTGATATGCACCCGTGCGATGGTCCGGCGAACTTCTGCAGGGACGTCTGCTGAAAGGCCAGGAAAGGTGACGTCCGTGGGGAGGTCCGGCATCGGTGAATCGGGCTTCCCTTCCGAGCTGGAAGGTTGTACTTCGAGTCGCCTTTCTCCGTATGCAAAGACAGCGTATCGAACTGCTTTGGCAAATCTCTGCTTGGGCTGCTGAATCTCAGAGAGGTCCTCCATCTCCACGCTGCGTGAGCCGTCCGCACACAGGAGAAAAGCACTGCGAACCGTAAAGGGAAAATCCAGAGGAAGTCGGCGCTGAGTAGGAGTTTGGACGCACTGAACGCGAGCCAGGTTCATCCCGAGGAGGTCGCCGATGTTCTTGCCCACATCGCTGTCCACGTCCACGTAGAAGGGTCTCGTAGAGCTGGTGCCGAAGGAACGCTCGAGCATCGTCACGATGGGGTCCCAGGCAGCCAGGTCAGAGACTGGGCTTTGGAAGGTAGCCAAAGCCTGGTGCAGCGGAAATCTCGTGACATCCTGAGCTCTTATGTAGTCGTGGTAGAGGTGGAGGAGAGCATCGACCAGCTTCTGAGGATAGACCTGAGAAGGCTTGGTGTCCTTGCCCTGGACCGGAACTGTGTACATGCGCTCGGTCTCCGAGAGGCGCTTGTTGAGCACAGTGGCCGCGCCCGGAATGTTAGTGAGGAACTTAAAGGGCTTGATGACGGGCTCGCCGTCGGTTGTGGTGCCGCCGTAGGCGCCTGAGTCAACGATGCACTCCGCAATGCCGGGGAAGTCGCCGAGGTCGCGAAACTCGTCCATCTCCCAGAGCCGTGAGTGCCGCGGATTCTCCAGCACAAAAGCGCGTTCACCATCAAGCTGTAGGTCCAACAGCTTGCGAATGAGCCGCCTCATCTCCAGGTCATCTTGCCGTAGGCGATGAAGCACATGCATGCGCTTGCTGTAGTTCAGGTTCTCGTTAAAGATGGAGTACAGAGTGCAGGGGTAGGCCACATGGAGAACATGGGGCCGTAGCCGCTTGACCATCTTAATGACATAGTCCTGGGTCTGCAGCTCCTCAAGGTGCCATCCAAAGACTTGGTCCACAGGTTCCGAGGCACTGAGTCCATAGCGGGACGCCTTTGCGGTAATGCCGGCCTCGCCGGCAAACAGCTCCATGACGTCGACCGCCGGCGGTGGTCTGCAGGAGGTGGACATGAGGCTGTCATAGATCGCCCGCTCTCGGTCCAGCACACCTGCCGAGCGGGCCCAGTTGCCGCTCAGTCGTCTCCGTCTCCCGTCGTATTCTGTCTCCGGAGGGGGTTGTGCAGAAGGCTCCATGGAGTTGAGTCCGACATCTCCGAACCACTCGGCATAGAACGGGTTGTTCGGTGCCTGCGTGCCGGAGTTGTCGAAGTCCTCGTGGGTGTCGCCGGCGATGCCTTGGCCGTCGTGCCTTGGGGCTTCGAAGGCCGACGGGTCGATGGTTCCGCTGTCCGGGAAGGTACTGCATGGGCCGGCGCAGTATTGGAGGAGGATGGCAAGGGCGGTTGCGAATTGAGCAGCGATGCCCCGAACTTGTTGTCCAGGTGTTCGACCCACAGACCTTCGTGGGCGTTCCACTTCCATCTCTTCAGGCACTGCTTGCAGCGAGCGAACTTGCCGTACGCGTTGCCGTACCGGACATAGTCGGGGTGGCTGCAAGTTGCTGCGGGATGTGCGAAGTTCACGTCGAGCTCCGGAGGCACGTCCAGGTAGATCTCGGGCGCCAGGAGGCCGAGGTTCACAGCATGCGCCATCTGTATGAACACGTTGCGCTTGAGAAGCTGGAGGCATCGTACCAGGCGGCGCCATCCGCGCAGCCATGTCGGTGGAGTCGCCTGCATGAAGTGTCGGGGTTGCTGAGGACGAAACGTCAGGAACAGCTTGGGCCAGAAACACGAGCTCCGGAGGCGGGCTGTCCCAGTCAACTGCATCTTGAAGCTGCTGCCACCTAGCGCTGTCTGAGGGAATGTGCTTGCTAAACTCGACCACTGAGACAGTCAGGTGTCCATTGTTGCGCTGCACAGGCACTGTCACGCCTAACTTGGTGAACGTAGCAGAGGACCTAGGCATGTCAAGCACCAACCCGAGCTGATCAAGCAACTGATTGGACGCAAGCATGGGAATGTTTGCTTCGAGGACGCCTGCTCCAATCACAAGGTCGGTTCCCCCTATGCCAGCTGGCATGTACAAGCGGTGCTTGGCCTTGACTGGGTCGCCGCTGCCAAACTGAAAAGCATCTGTGCAAGGGGCTCTGCACACAAGCAGGTCCTGAACACGGAGGAGTGAAGCATGCGCAGTTGCCCAGGAGCTCCTGCAGCAGGTCCGCTGGCAAGCCGTGTCGAGGATCATGAGGCCAGGGAAGTTCACGTCGCCGTCGGTGGCGCGCCGCACATCGAAGACCACGTTGATGCTGAACATGGTGCCGTAGGTGGGCTCGTCGACGACCTCGAGGGAGCCATGCTCGGCGTGGTGTACGAGGTAGGTCTGGCGCGGCGCCTTTTTGGCTCCTTTCCCGGACTCTTGTCCTTTGGTGCTGCCTGAGGGCGCAGCAGCGCCTTTCCCAGATACTTTGCACTCTGGGTCGCCTCGCCAGTGACCCTTTTCTCCGCAAGCTGCGCAGTGGGTCTCCTTCTTGAGGCTTGCAGCGTCCTTCTTGGGGCCTCAGTCGCATGCTGGAAAGCTTTTTGGCTGTTACGCTCAAAACTTCTGTCCACGTGGCCGTCGTCCAAGTTGCCGGCCTCGTCGTCGTCGGGGGCGGCCTGGTCCTGTTCCTGGTCGCCACCTGACCCCTCAGCGGACTCGTGCTCCTGCTCGGTCTCGCCCTCGTCGGCCTGGTCCGCGAGGTAGACCTTCCTGGCGAAGCCGGTGGGTTTCCCCCCTTTGCCGCCTTGTCCTCCTTTGCCGCTTGGTCCCGAGGAGCTGGGCGGATGTCCTTTGCCTCCCCCTTTGTTCCGGTTGATGGGCTGCCCGTCTCGTCCGATCACAGGAGGGGACCCTTTAAAGTCGGGGAACTGCATGGCCATGCTCTCGGCGATATCCTCGAAGGCCAGGGAGTAACGGCTGCCCACCAGAAGCAAACGCTGATCCTGAGGGCTGAGTCTCGCTCTCTCCAAGAGCCTGTTCCCACGAGCCTCGCTGTCATACATCAGGGTCACTTCGACCCCGACAGCTTTAAGATTGCGTTCGGTACGCCTGTACCGATTGCTAAAGGCCTTCAGTCCTTCGCCTGGTTGCCGCTGAATGCCTTCAAAGTCGGAGAGGTATTTGCGCTTCTGGAACAGCTGCTTCTGCTCCATAGGCTGGCGGAGGGTTTCCAGGATAAAATCTATCCCCTTCTCGGAGTTGATGGCCTCGATTGGGGCGTGCTCCAACTCCGCCTCCGCCTCCCCGGTCAAGCTGGTGTACAGGACCAGGGACGCCTCCCGAGGTGTCATATAGGAAGACACTTGAATCCTCCAAAGAGCAACCTTCTTGGAGAACTTGCTGTACGCGCGTAGATCAGACTGCTCGTACTTCCAGACAGGAGGTGTCGGAGGGGCCCCGCCTCTCCATCTCACACCCCGCGCCGGTCCCATCATGGAGTTCCAGCTGGTCGAAGACGAAGAGGAGGTCGCCACCTGAGAGGTCATGACCTGCTTGGTGTCGGGCTGAGGCTTGGTCGGCTTACGTGCTGGCGAGCCCTTTGCTTTTGGCCTTGCTGCCTGCGAACTTGCCGTAGGCGGTGTTGCCGGGCAGGAGCTGGGTCGAGCCGTAGGCCTCCAGGTCGTGCCGCCATGTCCGCCGCCAGCAGGTCGGGAGAACTCATCCAGCTCTTCCGGGTCCACAATGGGATCGAAGGTAGCCGTCTCGGACTCTGGCATCTCAAAGCCGTCTGAGGGAGGTCCATCAGGAGGTTGTCCCCGGCGCAGTGCCCGATTGAACTGTTGCCGTTGGCGTCGGGAAATCGGAGCTGGCTGCCCTTTGCCGGAAGGACCGCGAAGAGGTACTTGTTCAGGAGGTGCTTGCGCAGGAGGTGCTTGCTCAGGAGGTCCTTGCCGGGGAAGTCCATTAGGAGCCCGGGGCAAGAACATCCAGGTGCCGCAGTCAGTCTGTCGGCGCAAAGCCTGGTTCGTGGAGTAGAAGTCGTTGCTTTGGCAGGTCGTGCAGCTCCACTGGCCAGGTCCGATCTGCACGGCCCTGTCGGAGTCGCAGCGAACGCATCGCCACTCACAGCTTCCCTGGATCGCATTCGAGGCCGCTTCCCGCTGCAGAGCTTCGAGCCACGGGTCGTCACCACCATGGGGTTATATGGGGTTCAGGGAGTTCTTCTTGATCAAAGGCGTCCAGATCGACGCGGTCATCCGGAGGCTCATCCAGCCCGTCGAGGCGAAAGATCTCCGGGATCCGCGGCATGATCAGGCCAAAGACGATGCCGACGCGAAGGTCGAAGATGAGGAGGTCAAGCGGCCACGGAAAGAAGGCTCCGGTGCCAACTGATCAAGCCGAGGGCTTGGAAGGCAAGGCGCACGGGACAGCACTTTTCCATGCGCGAGATTATCAGAACTCAAGGGGCCCCTTAAAAGGCAGCGGTTCACACAAGACGGATGACGCTTGGCCAAAGAAGTCTACCCCGCTGCATGCACTAAATTGTCATCCCCGACTTTAGCCCTCTGATACTGCCCTCCGTTCGGGGTTGTTACCCCTCGCTGACTCAACCATTTTAGCTTTGCTTTCCGCAGCAGGACACAGAATTTCCTTTGGTTCATTGCTTTGCGGCTCTAACGTGTGAAAATTCGTCAAGTGGCACAGACCTACCAAGTAATGAAGCACTGGCAATCAAGGAATTCCTGCTGATGCTGTTGCACTGAGCTCCCTGCGCAGAAGCTGGCCGCCACCTTCCAAATGGGAACCGTCAACTTCCAAGTCTCTTGGAACGAAGCCCGTGCCATTGAAGGGACTGATGTCAGAAGCAAGAAAAAGTTTTCCAGAAGATGCCTTTGCCATTGCTACTCTCTCCAGCATTGAGTTGCCTTTCTGAACCTGCTGTCCCGGCGATCCGGAGAGCACCAAGCCCAGTAAGACCCAGTCATCTCGGATATGGGCCGACAGAGTGATGGCCGCCTCCTTGAGTTTTGGTACCCAGTGGAGCATGCTTGCCACCGATGATGCTAGCGCTTGCCTGAATCTCACAGTCTGCTCCTGGGACCCTGCGGCTTTGCACTGCACATAGAAGCCTCACATGCAACGGCCATTGCCAAGAAACTGTTATTCGACAGCTTCCGGAAAATCATTTACACGCTTGTTCATAAAGTGCTTTCTTGTTTGCCTGCAGCTGAATGCGCACATTGTTTAGATGGTTTCGGAAGCCTGTGCAGAACGTGCTAGCCGTGTTTGCCTAAGGTATCCCGAGAAAGAAACACAGCACGTTCATTGAGATTCCCGCGTGCGCTAGGCATGCTCAAAAAGAAGCACATCATCATGGATCTTAAGTCGTCGCCCCTTGCGTGTCCCCCTCCCATCTACTCTGGCTTTGCAATGAAGCGCTCGGTACTCAGCAAGCAATGGGTAAGCACTCGGAATGTTCTCGGTAAACGTACGGACTATGAACGGCGTGGAGAGCGCTTAGAACTTGTAGACCCAGAAGATTATCTCACTAAGCTTGCTAAGCGCGTTTCTGCCGGACATTGCGGTACAAATTTATAGATGGAGGGGGAGATTACATATCCATAACATCATGGAAGATCGCTGTCTAGTGCACACACTGCTCTAGTCTAACTGCTTGGATCACTTCTCAGGCTTAGAGTGGTTTCCCTTCTTTGCGTTTTGCGTGTGAACCTGGACACTGGTCTCAGCTACCAAAGAACACGAAGTCCACAACCCCTCAAGATAAGTGTCTGGGATTGTCGAGGGATCTGCATTTCCAGGCTGCTAACGCCTTGCGGAAAGATGCCAAACGGGTAAAACGAGGGTCTGGATGTTTTGACAAGTGGGGATGGCAGTCCGATGACTGTAGCTTGCAGAAGCCAGAAATGAACGAAATAGACCATGATAGCCCCGTCAGCCCTTACTTCCCCGCCTCATAGGCATGTCGCAGTGCCTCTGCGCCCTGTGTGGACAGCCTCAACGAATTGAGCTAAACACGCATAACCGAGCAGCACGGGTGCCCGCATGAGGAGTGCAAACTCTACGGCTTTGCGACTGGGAAGCTGCGTCGTGATTTCATCCTGCATATCTGCGACACTCCGCTGCAGGAAGAACTCCGAGACTGGGAAGTACGCTACAGCCAGGTGCAGTGTTTGAAGCATGTTCTTCTGGAGCTGCTCTAGAGCCCGCACGCTTTCGCTGCTCAAGGGTCTCTCGTGGAAGGTCAGCCAGATCTTCCCACGAAGAGCGGGCAATGCCTTGCAGTGCAACAAGGGCTCAGAAACTTGGCAGCACAAGGCCCCCACCGTCCGTGCCACCTTCCGGAAACGGATTGACCCATCATATGTTGCCCATACATCAACGGCCTCACCTGTTGCCGCCAGGCCATTTTTGCAAATCGGATTGCCTTCTGGTAACGAGCCACCCAAAGCTGCTGCAGTTGCGAGCGATTCAACGGAGAGCTGCCTCTGAACCACGCCGGTTACCATAAAAGAATGCAACTGGACCTGCACAACTGATTTGTCCCCGTCGGCTTGTCTAGCAAGCATATCATTCGATTGCTTTGCCGCTACTCCCGGAAGCTTGGCCACGGTGATGTGTGGATGGCAGTTCTGGCACAATGCAGCACAGGTGTCGTCCAGCGCAACGCGAAGTGCAATCAGACCAAGCCCTGCATCCCAGCAAAGCGCTACAACAGTCACCTGCACCTGTTTGCCCTCAATTTCTTCAAGCCTTTCTTGCGTGCTTCGATTGGCTGGTTCCGCAGACCAAAGCAGGGTCACGTGTGGCTGGCTAATTGGTTGAAGACTCTGCGTGGTATGCGCATGGGCCGCCTGGATGGTATCTATGGACGTCAAAAGTGATTCCCGCAAGCTACCGACAGCCGGATCCCAAAGAATAGCCTGCCAATCCAACATGACCATCCAGTACAAGGTTTTCCACCTTTTCGCCAGGCCAGCCTGCGGTCAAGTAAGCTTCCCTGGTTTCGAACAGAACAAAATACCCCAGGAACATCAAATCATCTACTTTGAACATCCCACCCTTAATGTTTGGTGGTTGCGGGGCAGCATCAACGACTTCCAGCAACAATATGCAGCATGCTCAGCATGCAGCAGTGCAACTCTGAAATGTTGTGCCGGCCTGCAGACGTAACAACTGTACATTCCATTGGGGTGGTGGGATGGCTTGTGTGAGGCTTGGATTTTGGTAGTCATGCGCTGTGGCTGGGCACTGCAGGGAGAGATGGGAGCCTCTGGCGTTCTATGGCTTGCTACTCTGAGGTTGGGGCTATTCTGCGGTTGGGCACTGCTGGGATAGTCTGCGGTTGGGCATTGCAGGAATACTCTACGGCTGGGCACGCTAGGAACTCTCGGCGGTTGGATGCTCTGCGGTTGAGCACTGCGCGGAAGGCGAGGAGAACATAGACTTTTGAAAATCTGTTTTGAAAATCTGACAGTCCCGCTGTGAGCGTGGGGAACTATGGCCCCTTAAGTTTATCACATTCGCCGCCTCATGAGCCTTTGCCGCCGCAACTGCCTGCTGACAGAGCTCGTCGGTAAAGGACGCTTCTGACAAAAGCCTGCCATCTCTAAGCTTGCTCAGCGCCATCTTTAGCAACGTCTTTGCATCTAGGCGCATGTCAATATCAGCATAGACATCAAACTGGAACTTCTCGTCGTCAGTCAGGACTTCAGCGCTTTCAGCAGCTGACAGCACCACGGCAGCGGCATCCATGGCTTGTGGAATCAGGGAAAGATGAGAGAGGCCGCGACCGGAGATTCGTGCCGCGCAGATGTCCAGTGCACGGGTGGACTCACCTTCTTCATCTTCCGGGTGGCACAGATTCAGCAGTGCAAAGGCAATCTTCCCACTTGATGCTCGCTGACGAAAGCCGTGGCCAGCCGCCACCAGAACTTCTTCTCTGTGCTGCTTTATAGTGTGGATCTTGTCCACAAAGAGGTACCGCACCTTTGCATTTGCCGCCATGGCAGTCACTGCTTGAAGAAATTGCTCCTTGGGAGACCTTGAGCGCTTTCCCATGGCTGTCACCTCATCTTGATTGACCCAATCGCCTCCGAGTAGGTTTTTGAGGCCACGGCATAGGCTGGACTTTCCGCTCCCTTGCAATCCACGCACCTCAAGCTCACTTTCGAGAAATACTACTACCAAGGTCCACAATAATGTGAAGGTAAGCAATATACAGCAATCATTCTATTGAATGGGCTGGAGGGTTTGAAGCGCGGCCCGGAGGCCCGTGTCCAAGAGTTTCTTCCGTGAGTAAAAGGCCGAGCTGTAAGAGAGGTGTCAGGAGCTCTGCGCCCCCTAGGCGGAATCGGAAAACTGAGATGACCTTGGAGGTACACCTTCCAGGCCTTAGGGCCTGAAGAGGGCCTGGAACAAGTGCAAGACTCTTGGGCCAAGTAAGTCACCTTTTCAAAGGGTTCCCAGCGCCCCCAACCTGCTACTCCGAACCACTCCCTAGCAGAAATCCGCCAGGTGTGCCTGCCAGGAGCCAAAGACACGTACTTCCCTCAGCAGGCATTGGCAGCCGAAGGATCCAGTGCCAGCAGCAGCAGCAGCAGCAGGGGTGAGAGAGAGAGAGAGAGAGAGAGAGCGAAAGTCATCGCCGATGTCGCTGAAACTTTATCACTCCAGCCTCACCGCTTCCACAATCAGAAGCAGCACCAGGAGCAACGGCAATCACCACAACAGCAGCACAGTCATCATCACTTTCTTCTGACGTCGCGAGCACAAGCAACAGCGAAGTTCAGAATGAACTGCCTGACTCTCTATATTCTGTGGCTCACAGTTCTTGTTGAAGCCCTTTTGGGGGTGATAAGAACTGGGCGGGAAAAAAGCACCACTTCCCATCGCGAGCAGTGCTGTTGGGACAGTCTCTGCGTTTGGGGGGTGGGGGGGGGGAGCATGGAAGCATGAACTCCCACCTATCTGCAACATGAGATCCAAAGTGACAGGTCTTACCCGTCTTACCCATGTCTTAGCCACAACATCAAACAATCGGGAGCAACAAGCAACAATGACCCTGCGCAAGCATAGAAACCCTCGCTTCACACCGGGGCAGATGGCAACCTTGACTTGCTTTGTTGAACAAGGTCGGGTCGACTAATTGTTGGACCCGCGATGGATCTAGCAAGTGCTACAGGCCATCCTTGCCAATTGCCAGGTACAGCCAATCCAATGAGATTCGGGAAAAAATGGCCAGGCGCAATGAAAGCTAGCGGGGATGGGCAGGGTGGGGACAGGGAGGACCGCGTTTTTTTATGGACGTCTGATGCCTGAACCTCTTTCACGACCGTACCGAACTCCTTGGATCAAGCATTTTTCGGTCTTGTTTGCCCAGGCTATTTGTCCCCCAAACCCTTGCACCCTCTGGTGCCTAGCATCCTCTCTTCAAGAACTTTACAAGATCTTAGAAGCTTGTTGGAAACACCTGCTCCTTGCAAGGTGTGCTGTGGTGGGACTTCGTCAGAAATTCTTGCATCAGCTTTGAACCAAGGAATGCTGTAGAAATCTACCGTTGACCTTCGTTCGCAGGTAGCCGCGTATCAGCACCGGACCCCTCCCCCTGCTTCGCTCTGGGGTCCTTTCCTGTGAACGCATCGAGACTGACCCGCCCCCTCCCCCCGTCCACCCCCCCTGAACGACCACAGCACTCGCAACAATCGCAACTCAGGCTCTACTGCTAAGGCAGAAGAAACTCAAGCCTAGCTGTCGCTAGCTTTCATGAAAGAAAAGCACCCATGGAAGCCCACTAGCTGTAGCCCTGTCTTTTTTGCAGGAGCGGCACTAGGCATGAAAGAAGAGTGAACTGTTGAACCCCCTTCTGCTAGCATCCTGCTAGCATCTTTGCCATGTCCAGGCACCAGAACAGCTGTGAGAGCAACGTCCTCATCTGGTGCATCCAGGGGAGCCCTGGAAAGAGCTTGCGATGAAGTTGACTTCAGCACCTCTTCCAGCCAAAGTCCAGGTGCCTTTCCGGGATCAGCGCAACCAGCGCAGCATCCTAACTAGCTGCAGGTCGCTGCAAGCCTGGCCTGAGTTTCCAGCCGCCGACGATGTCGACACAAAGCTGGCACCCACTGATCGACTGTCAGCTTTGCCTTGGCTTCTTGGCACAGCAACAACGGCCTTCGCAGGCAGCTCAAGCCAGTGATAAATTCAAATTCGGTAGTTGCCAACTGTCTTCTTGCCTTACTTAGCCACATCAACGAAATCAATCACTAACTAGTTCACAGAAGCTGCTTGCAGCCAAGGTGCCCGAAGAGTTGAGTACAGCTCTGTGAACGAGGCAAGCCATTCCGCAGTGCAAGCAGTTGCCAGGTCCCGCGGTAAAGCTTCAGACCATGTCTGGCCAAGGTGGAACAGGTCGTGTGCAGCCTTCAGGTCAACCCAGAATTGAGACAAGGTCTCCGAAAAACCTTTCTCCGGGAGGAGGAGGAGGACCCAGCGATAAAACAAGAGGTAGCCCTCAACAATTTCACTCTCATCTGGATGGTGCACGTGCAGTAGCCTTATGCGGCTGCGTATCCGCGATTCTGAGGCTCGCTGACAAAACTTCTCCCTCAGGGCTCGAACAGTGACGTACCACGAGTTTTTCCACTTGTAAACCAGGGCTGTTCGTGTCTTGGAAGGCGTTCGAAGAACCACGTACACCACGGCACCTTCCCGGTTTGGAAGAAGAAGGTGCTTTCTCTCCAATTGTTTGACGGCATCCTCATCGCTGACCGCAGCTTCATCCAGCGCTTCCACGGCGAAGAGCCCTCAGAAGGGACATGTGCAAAACGTTTTATGTCTGAAGATGTTTCACTGGAGATGTGTTCAGCATGTTCAGCCAAGGCGCCCCACTCCTGGAAAGCTTGAGCTGCCTGCATTGGGTCAAGCAGGGTCAGGCCAGCGTTGCGGAAGGAGCTCGGAGATGTCACCGCAAAAAAGCGGATATGCGCCTGGATTTGATCTTGACCTTAAACTCCATCAAACTTTCCACATGAAATTAAACAAGAAGGCTGACTCAGGATAGGACAACAGGTGCAGTAAACCAATTGGCCCTCTGCATGCGGAGCAGCAGCTGTTGTGGTAGCTCTGAATGTGTTGGTGCATTGGAGAGATGGACTCTCCGCAAAGTGTGGCAGAGTTTTTGGCAACATACCTTATCATGGCCATTCGCTGATCTTCGCGCAGTTTGAAAATCTGTTCGAGAAAGACCCTGGCCATCTCCCTTGCAAATTGGAAACGGTCCTCTGTATAGCAGGACAAGTCCTCGAGCGCCTCGTTTTCTGCCGTAGCAACAACCACCACAGTGACGTTCTTGGATCCCAGAGCCAGGTATGGCACATCCCGATAGAAGAAGAACGAGGACTTACACATCTCTCCATTCTCCTCGGCTCTTCGAGCATCTTGAAATCGCAGCCCGGGTCGAAAAGCAAAACTGTTGGACATGACGGGCTAAATTTAATCGACAGAGTTGGTGCAAACCCCGCTGAGAATCCCAACCCAAACTGGACCGTACAGATCTGCACGCCCCAAAACCTCAGTCTATGTAAAACATTCTAGAGCCAAAGCCGCCTCTGAACCCAAGTAACGTCCCTTCGTTGAGAGCTTGCGACAAGCACTCCCGTTTCGCCTCCCCAGTCCACAATTTCCGATCCCACTTCGCGGTGAATTTCACACGAGGATTCCCACCAACCCCCCACTTCCTCCCCCACCTTTGTGGAATACTCCTTCTTCCTTTTACGACTGCTACTGCTACTGCTGCTACTACAACTACTGCTACTGCAGCGGCTGCTGCTGTTGCTCCTACTCCTACTCCTGCTCCTCCTCCTCCTCCTCCTCCTACTACTACTACTACTACTACTACTGCCACCGCCATCTAGCCATGTTGACAGGTAGGTTTCTTTGGAATGTTGCCAGTATGAGCGGCTACGATTGCAGGGGAAATTAATGGTCCCTCCACACATGACAGAGCTCAACATCTGCTTTGCCATTTTGTGACTCATCGTCTAAAGTTGAGGACGGGCGTCTGCTTAAACATACCGAGGGGATCTGAGGGGTTATCCTTCCTCAGCGAGCAACTGAGAAATGTCCAGTTGCGCAAAACTTCCAAAGTCTTTGTGCCATTGCCTCCAAGTCTAGCCGAGAGTCTTTCGTGGAGAAAACAAGCGACAGCTTGCACCTTAACTGCAACTTCTTCATTGCTGCTGGAAGCGCAGAGAGAGCGCAACGCCGTGCACCCCCAGCCTCAGAGGCAAGGGGTCCAAACTTTTCCTCAGCGCTGCCAAACTTGCGCATTGCAGCCAGCTGGCACAATAACACTCCTGTCTCATCGCCCTCACGGACCTCAGCATGGCCTCGCGGCAGGGCCTCCCATAAGGCCTGGTTTGCGAAAGCTCGATCCGCAGATGCCCGCTTGGCAGGCTGTGAGTCAATGATGGTGAACGTGGCTCCTGACGGGAGCGTCTTTGCCCTCTGGACGCGCCGCAGGTCTTTGGAACCCAGGTCAGGTAATTCGTTGTGCTTTCCGCTGGGGGATGTACAAGTGACCGCACGCAGCCACGTTTCAATGCCACACTCTGATTGGGTCTTGGGCTCCGCAGCACTTGAAAAGAAGTTGCTCACCACTTCATCTGCTGTATTTGGCTCATGACTGCTGCCGGCGTTCTTTCGCAGCACTGCGGTCCGGGGCGTCTGTCTCTGTGTAAGCCGGGCCACGCAAGACAAGGTATAGTACCGAAGCTGCGTGGACATCTCGCAGTCGATTGACGCAAGCTGGCGAGCAGGCGCTTGGTGTTGAGAGGGCAAGCCAACATCACACAGCTCGACCTCGAAGACTTTCCCACAAACAGCAGGAATCAGGGGCAACTTCATAAGATGTGGAGGCTCGGCCTTGCACAGCAGCGGCAAAAGCCATCCCACAAGATGGCCCACAAGTCAACCCGGCTGCAAGAACTGATCAAACGAGGAAGTTCGTTGCATCAAGACACGCGCGCATTGATTTTGAACAGCGTGTGTTATATGTGGACAAATTCGATTATAGATGAAGCATCGCCAGCCCATTTAAACCAATGCCAGCCCTGACGGGGATTTGCCAAGGGGGCCTCAACTTTCCTGTCCCGACACGGGTTGGAATTGCCAAAGTGAAGCCTGATTCAAGGGTGGCAACCCTTCAAGATTGTCTCGCAGGCTCGCAGGGGTAACTGGACCCCATGCATGTATAACATGAAATGCTCAAACAGTGAAAATTTTTCTGGGAGCACAGTAGAACAGGGGAGGGAGGGCCAGGCGGAGAACGGCTGCGAAACTGTTCGGAACTAGACGAGAATGATGATGCCAAAGCACCTGCTCAATTCTTGATTTTTTTGCGGCGCCCGGAAGGCCTCAAAATGCTGAAATGTGAGCGCTTGCCCACACTCCGACGCGGAGGCATCGCCCGAGCGTAGTAAGGGAGTGAAGCTTCATGGTTCTCACTACTACGCGTCGCCTAATTTGATTGTGTTTGCCGCTTGCCAAAAAAATAGCTCATGATGTTATCATGTCTCAGCTGAAATTGATTGCCCCACTAAGTTTCCTTGGCAGGTCCACTATTGCAACTGCATTCGTGCCACCCAGGGGGTGAGCAGCTTGGAGTACAGGAGCAGGGGGCAGAAAGCCGAGCTGACCATCCCTACACACACCATGCCCCGAAAAAGTAATGATAATGGGCAGAATTCCAACCCAAACAGAAAACTAGTGAGGAGTTTTAAAGATCCAGTCTCGTTAGCAATAGAACTTGCACATCTTGTCTGCTCGAAGATTCCCGCGAGGGGTCAAGATCCGGTCAAAACCTATATGACCTATCCACCCGTAGACTTTCAAGTTACCTGGCGGCTCCAGCCTGGAAGTTGAATGCCACACCCAAGTCCTTTCCGTTCCGCACGAAAGCGATCTGAAGCCCACTGCGGCGGTCCAGCCGAGACTCAATCAGGTCGCCTTTTCCAAACTCTTCCTGGCTGCCCCAGACTTTGCAATCAAGACTACCTTCGCAAGCTGGGAACTAAAGTGGCTTTCCAAGTGTCACCGTAAGTCTCAAAAGCATTGGCGTAGGATTTCCTGAGCTGCACCAGGCTCTGCTGAGCCTGATCAAGCCTTGCAGGAGCCTGTAGCCTTGCTGGTAATTATTTGGACCAGCGTCTTGCCAGTGCCTCCAAAGCCGAAGCTGGTGTCAGTTGTACCAATGGTATCTGCTGACCGGCCATCTGCCACCCAGCCAACTCGCACCAGACCAGATAGAATTCGGACTGAAAAGGCACCTGGAACAGAACCACATATTAGAACTCCTCTTGTAATTGGACACTCCTGTTCCTCACAAGCACAAGTTTGAAGACTTGGCAGGGGTGGCGGACTGGAATGCGCCTCGAGACCCAACTAAAACGCCAGAGCTTTCGAGGCTTGTGCCGCGCCAGGTGGCTCTTGTGCAGGAGATGCGCCGCCCGGAGTCCTGTGAATTTATCTTTTTGGCATCAGAATTATGTCAAATGGTTTTCTACTGTTGTTCAGGGTCTGGAATTAATTCTCTGTAAATCTAAAATGCTTTTGGCCTGAAAGCTGCCTATGCCGCAAAAATGCTCTTGGACCCCAAAATGGCCCAAAACAATTTCTCGAAATCTAGCAGGTGTTATGACTACTGTTGAGCTCGGACTAAGGGAGTTCGTCGTGCTCGGCTGCTGGACCTTCTTTGTGGGCATGCTTCAGGAATTGAGGATAGACAGATACAGTCACAGATGCAAGCAGTGACTTGCGACCAATGCGAGGGATTTGGGCGGGGAAGTTGAGGGACTCCACTAGCAAGTTGTTTTGGCTTGAAGGCAAACGTCTCTCTGCTAAGATGGAAAAAATTGCTAGTGCAGGAAGCTTGTTTGAGGGCGCGCTCTTTGTACTAGAAGAAAAGGGGTACGGAATTGTGCAGAGACAACGAGTAAGGGAGACTGGTTTAGGCGAGCGGCCAGTCAAGGCAAGTAAACGTGTTGTAAGGCGTCGCGGCCAAATAAAAAGGAAGTTGGGCATAGTTACCTGGAGAGGACAAGTTGGATGCAGGGCTGGATGGGGATGCGTCAGCTGCGTATCAGTTGCGCAACCCTTGGGAATTTGCTGCTCAGCATGAACCGGCATCGTGAAGGAGTTGCACTGGATGAAAACACAACCGAAATCGTTTGCTTTCCCATCACAAATCTGCAAGAGAAGTGCAAGATGAAACTTCTCCGGCAATCCCTTGCATCCATGAGAGCACTGGTCGCAAGTGTTTGCAAGAGCAGCAGGGCATGCCAAAACAAACTCGTGTCGCAGGAGTCCTCAATCGTGAGCCCCGCGGCCACCAGCCAGGACATATCCGAGCGTGGCAAAACCACTCGGGAGAAGCTGCAGGTGCTGTGAAGACCTTGTGCCTTGAACCAACATGAGATAGGCACCGCATCTCTCGCCGCCCCACCGTAGTTTGCAACAAGCTCAATGCCCGTTGTGTCTTCATAACCTTCTGCGCCCTTTGCTCTCATTAGCATACATGTCGTTCCTGCATTGCTCCAACAAGATCAACAAGAGCAATTGCAAGAACCGCCGCCGGCGCCGCCGCTGCCAGCAGCAGCAGCAGCACCGCCGGCGGCTGCGGCGGCACCACCACCAGCGGCACCAGCAGAAACACCAGCATCACCGCCGCCGTAACGTCCCATGACGATGAAGACAGCGACAACAACGACAATACCAACAATAAGAACTACAAGGAGGTGGGCGACGACGTATGATTACGGCAACAGGCGCCATCACCCACTCAGACCATCCCGCCCTTACCCCCGAGCTGGCCGCCACCGTCGCATACCCCGACTACCCCCCACCTACCCCCACCACTGGTATTTATCCATCAGCATTTATCCATTCATTCATCCGGAACTGTGGGTTTGCAAGCTCCTTGGTAAGCAACATCAGCAGCGAGCAGGCGCAAACAAGCACAACTGCAAACCACTCCCCTTCATAATCGTGATCCTCACCACCACCACCACCACCACCACCACCACCACCATCATCATCATCATCTGCCGCCACAGACCAAATCCACAACGTGGCGCCAGCAACGAAAGAAAAAACACAACTCCCATCAGATCAGCAAGTAGCAGCAGCGACAACCACCAACTAATCAACCCAACTGCCCCAGACAAACACACATGCGCAAGAAAACACAAACATAACAAACACAAAAATCATCACCCCCCAACTAGCCACCACATCCACAAGGCGGAAGCGTTATTTATTGTTTTCCTAGGTTCGGCTGTATTGCTTGGTCTACAGGTTCGGCTGAAAGGCCGTTTACCAGGCGCTTCCAGAACCGGAAATATTTTCTTTCCTAGGGGTTCTGGTAGCGCCTGGTAAACGGCCTTTCAGCCAAACTGTAGACTAAGCAATACAGCCGAACCTAGGAAAAAAATGGCACGGGGCCCGGTCGGTCGGTGTGTAGCAGGCGGAAGCGTTTTTGTTTTCCTAGGTTCGGCTGTGTTGCTTTCTCTACAGGTTCGGCTGAAAGGCCGTTTACCAGACGCTACCAGAACCTTACAGCCAAATCTAAGCCAAACCTCTACTGACCCGGCAATACAGCCAACCTAGGAAAACAATATAACATGGGGCCCACATCCACGACGTTCAGTATAAATCATCTATGCCTATCCTTTCTAGCTTATGACTTTCATGCAGTGTTCCTTGGCTTGGCTCCTCTCTCTCTCAAACCCAGAACAAGCAGCGTGACATCGGGATAACCGCCTTCATTGCCTGCCGACTTGCCAGCGCTCTCTTATGATTATTTGGGAATGCTATTGGACCCCCTTGGCACAAACAACATACTCGAAAAGAAACTAACTCCTAGCAATGCACGAAAGATCACGAAAGCTTTGCTGGCATTGCTTTACGCAATTGCGGACTGGCCCCAGAGCAGCCTGGCACAAATGGATCCCCCTTTTGCCTGATAAAGCCTCTCAGCGACGTTTACCGCATCACATCTATCAGCGCATGTTGGCTGATGGTTGTTCCATCATTCTGCCACAGCTCGCCGACAATCAGTCTTGCATGCTCTGGCTCAGAACGGATTAAGATGTTCAGAAAGGCCCACTGCGTTTTTTACAAGATCAGCGTCATGCTAGCGCATTAAAAATACAGTCTGCATCGGTCGAATGTATAGATGCTACATGGTAATAGGGTGCGGCACTCACAGACGCAACGCCGGGAGCTCACAGTCTAAGACCTCCTGCTTTTGCTCGAACTGCTCGAGCTCCGGCGGCTCCGGCTCCGCCGCTTGCCAGCCGTGTCTTTGGAGCGTCTGCTCCTAGACCTCCCACACCGACGGACATCCAGACTTCATACCGCTAAGAGAAGGCGAATGGCAAGAGAAGGCACCTTCTCACTACAACAGAGCTAAGTTGCAACATGTATCCTGAATTGAATTGCTGCGATGCTTCCGGAGGGATTGGTTAGGTATCAGCCATCTTCACAGGCCAGAAATAGCAAGAACATGCTGAGCAGAGCTTGACTTGGTCTGAATCTGCTATCGTAGTTGACCAGCGGTGCAACATTTCAAGATATCAAACACCTGTGCTTGCGCAGTGTCTACATCTAAACTTAGCTTGATACGTGTCATTATGGTCTGGGGAGCTGAATGTCACTAACTCCCTATGCTGAAGCAGCTAGCGATAGCCTGAAATGGCTCATATCCCGAAAGTTTTAGCGGCCCACCGCATTGAGACTGCGGATGGCAAATCTTCAACCGCCTTATCAAAACCAGTGCTAGCAGTCGACGCGAAGTTGAAGTGACAAACGCCTAGTTGAACCAAAATCCAACTTCAAGGATTTCAAGCCCATCACGCAAGTCAGCCTTCTCGGGGCTTTCGTAGATACGCCTCAGATGGCTGCAGCTTCAGATTCTGCAAAAGGCTGCCATAGCATGTAGCTTCAAAGCATCTGGGGACTTCCGAGTGCATGATATGCTAACGTTACATTCTACAAGCCCTCCCCTAGCACAGAATGGTCCAGCTTTGTGGAAAGTGCATTGCCTTGAGGGGCTGCCTTTGTAGGTTACACCGCATAACATGTAAGGACTGGGCGACGGCTATCACTGCTGTCGCCTCGCCTTCTCCTGCACAGCTCACCACGACTTCGCATGCATGTGTTCAGGGCTTCTTCAGCGCACGCACCCACACGTTGCAACCACAAGGGTTAAATCTGGAATCGTTTTATGTATCATGGGTACAGCAGCAAACTCAAACAACAAGTACCGCAGAACGGACACAGACCCCGTTGTTCGCATGGTATAATAGCACTTCGAAACGCAGCGATTAAAAGACGTTTGGTCCAGATGGAAAGGCTGCAGCTTCAGTCTGAGCATTCTACTCTTTTCCGAGAAGCCAAATTGGCAGTGTCCTTGCTGGACTTCTGCTTCTACTTTTGCTGCTTCTGCGGCTGTCCCGGCTTCGTCCTCAGTTTTGGGACGAGTGCCGTGCGAACGCAAGGTAAACAAGCCAAAATGCCACCATCCCAGTCCGGAGTCTGAAGTTCACACTTTCCCCCAGTCTTATTTGGTGATGCGCTCGCCAACAAACGGCACGATGGTTCAAGTCTCTTTAAACGAATTACCTCTGGCACACTGCGTCCACCGGCAGCACGCCCCAAATCCTACTAGCTGGTTGCTCGGTAACAGAGGCAATGGGAGGAATTAACTCATGGCCAATGAATCATGGCCGAAAAAGCCTCAACCGATGCGAATGTATGAAGTCACTCCCACATCCTCCTGAAGCTGGGCGCACTGCCTCTGCGGTTGCGACCGGCCACGCCTCCAAATCTTTTGTCGAGGCTGGCTCTCGACCATGCTTGGAAGCTCAACCAAGGAACACTTCACATGTGAACACGCGCATTAAAACTTCCGAAGTCAGGCGAGAAAGAAAGAAGAGAGAGAGAGAGAGAGAGAGGGAGAGAGAGAGGAGGGTGGCAGCGGCAGAACCTCGATTTCGGCTGCCGTCTCGGTCACGTTTGTGCCTATAACTGTAGACGGGTCAGAGGACAAGATTGAGATATGGATAGATATGACAACCCTGCAAGCAGTTTGTCTCTGCTGGGAGTCTTGCCCACCACCACCGCCACCGCCACCGCCACCGCCACTTGAGGCACCACTCTTCTCCACGACGACATTGACCGCCAGGTTTTTTCCTGCTTGATCAGGGCTGAACAAATTTCCCTTCACTTGCACTCTACCAAAAGGCCAAACGCATGTAAACTTCTCGAACTACCCTGGCACTACACGCTGGCCAGTCCTTTCTCGCGGTTGTACTTCACATCAAAGCGAACCTCATTCGGCTTACAGGCACTTATTTGAAGCAAAAATCAAAGGCACGCAAGCACACAGCAAGGGACACGCACACACACACACACACACTGTGACACTGGAGGAGAAGGCACAGTACTGACACGCAGCCTTCCGATACAACTTTCTAGTATCACTATGACCTCTACCCCTGCTGCCAAGTATTTTCACGCAATTGTGGATGCGTTTGTCTGTCCTGACCACTGAATTCCCACTTACTGTCTCTGTGCGGCAGCCGAAGCACGCTCTTGGATTCTTGGGCAATTGCAAAAGACCTTGTGTACTGCCTGTAGCTGCCTGAAGAAGTCAACTCCCTACAATTTATGATGGCACTGGTACCTGAAGAGGTGCCAAGCCAGAATCTGGTGAAAAAGAATTGGTCGCCACACCAGGGGCTCGAATGCGCACATGTCTGAGGTCCAGTAGTTCTGGCAGCCCGCACCAAGGGCTCTTTAATGCTGCCCTGGCTACTGAAAACTGTATGATCCAAGGGTCTGCCAAAACAAGTCATCAAGATACAACAACGGCAGCAGCAGCAGCAGCAACCACAGAAGAAATTCAGTAAACGTATGTGGACACAGCTAGCACCCAGCCTTTTCAAAGGCCCTGACCCTGTCGCCTCGTTCGAGTCCATTGGCCCTTGCATCACGCAACCTGAGGCGAGAACAAAGTCACGGCAGCAAAGCCGCGTCAGCAAAGACTTTGCCGAAACCTACCTTGAAACTTGAGACTCCCTCAGCTGTTGTATACTACATACCGCAACAGGAAGAAGCCGAGCCCAAGCAGACAGCGATCTTCTCTCAACAATTCTCCTATGCTCTGCCACCTTCGGCTACCATCAAGCTGACTCCAAAGTTCCGCATCCAGTAGTCCAGTGTCAGAAGGCCAGGGGCCGCTTTGATTCACCCGAGGCCGAGGCTCGCTTACGTGCACAAACAGGTCGCCAAAATTGGAATCATCCGGGGCAATAAACCCAAAGCCCTGGCAGCAAGTCTTCAACATCAGCAACTTGCAGCATGCCTTGTTCAAGTATGACAGGTTCTATGGATGACCTTCTCCTCAAGCCAGGTGGTCACCAAACCTGTGGGCATCTATCCTCATGGCACCCGATGCCTGCCAAGCTACGTCACTTTTCTTTGACACTTCGTACCAAAACGCCAACGGTAACGGTGGCTTTGCTCAGCTCACGTGGCTCCATGTTATCTCAAATCCAATGACATAATGAGGGCTCGCTGCCTTTTCAAAACCGGCGGAATTCCGGATCTGAAACATTGGGCACTATGAGGAAAGAAGTTGCAGCACTAGAGATTAAAACCATGTGCCCGGGAGTGCTTTTGCAACCTCCTGGCAGCTGAATATTCGCTGCCACTGCAGGCGAAACGGTCTAATTCAGAGAGACATCAAGCCATTGCCCCGCATTTCAAAAGGCAATGGGTGGCAAGAGCTCACTTCTTGGCTTCAGCTTCTTGATTGAGGCAGACTGCCAGCGGTGCTTAAGGTCGTTCAGTCTTTAATCTCATCGACTCCCTCAGATACAATCCGCTCAAGCGGTTTGAATGATTGTGGCAAGTCCAACCTCGGCTTCTTGTGGACAAGCTGCAACATACAGATACAAACCACAGGACATAGCACAAGCCCCCGGCTTCTTCGTCGTCCTTTCGCTGGTATGGCCCCATGATCTGGGAGTGAGGACCTGTCAGATGGTCTTGCCCGTCACGCAGCCTGCGATCCTTCGTGGCAGATCGCTGCCTCGGACTTCCTGCTTGCAGACCGGGCAAGACGATACTTTGAAGTTGGCCTGAGATCAACCCGCCCGGCATTTTTGCAAACAATGAGCATCAAAGATAGGATGAGCCCCGGGCACATTGACCTTCTGCCCGCCATCAGTAGAAAACCACTTGTGATCAATAGCTTGTGCAGCTGTAAGTCGTCGCGCTGGGTCCTGGCTTGGGAGCGGGTCGAAGTGCCCCTTTGTCGCCGTCCCCTAACCTCCCTGTTGTAAACCTTTGTCGCTGCCCTTAGACCACATGATTTCCTAGAGTTCAGCCCTAAAGCACTCAACCCTGGACCCTGCTGTCCAGCACCAGCAGCTGCTGCAGCAACTGCAAGGACTCGGCTGATGCTTCCTTTAGCTCTTTAGCTGCCATCGCATTTGCCAGTACCTTCAGTGCACATGTATGATTGGAATGCCTGCTTCCTGCTCTCTGCGCCCAAACATCTCACAGCTACCCGAGCGTTTCTGCAATGGGACATAAAACAAATCGGTAGCGTAAACAACTAAGAGAGCAGGTGGCAACGACGGGACAGTGCTTGAGAGCTTCTCAATTCCAAGCTCTTGGCAGAACTTGCTTCACCACCTCCTCGGCCAAGCTTGCGTACCTGCAGCTGCAGACTTCCATTCCATATCTCGAATGAGACGGCCCTCTCCATGTCCTTCAGGATACCGTGCACTCCTCCTGATCTCCATGCACTGTTTAGAAAACTGCCCTGCCCGCATTGGTTCGATGTCGACTCCAAGGATGCTGACTTGCCAAGGGGGTTTGGTTTTTCACTGCGAGCCCGAGCCCCCGAGCCCTCTCTCGATTCGGCAGACCAACTCTTGCATTATCTTCCGTATTCCTTGTTGGGCTCTGATTCGAGTTCCTCATGTTGGGTTTCTTGTTCTTCGCAATGTGGTACTGCTCATGAACCCTTGTTCAACGTGGCGTAGCTGGGCTGCTAGGCAAACATAACCTGGAGGCCCTGAACTATGAGCAATCCCAAGCGGGTCCCCCTCCTTGATTCATGCCTTCTTCCATAAAATAGTGCCTTTGCAAAGCCTGTTTCATGCCTCTGTCCACCCTTGGCCGGCAATAGCGCTAAACGTTCCAAACAACTTTCGGAGCGGGTGCCTCCTCCTCGTTGGCAGGCCTCGGTTTCCAGGACTTCGTGCTATTAACCACTTTGATCCGGAGTAGCAACTACCTCACACAACGCACGATGAGGTGTGGGTTTGTGCGTGTGCTCGAAAGCTTGTAAAGATCGGCCATCATTGCACAATTATTATTCAAGTGCCCACCACTGCTGCTTGCCATGAGCTCGAGATTCTGGCGAGTCCCCCGTGAGCAAGACGTACAGGATCACACCAGCCTCGATGGAAACTCCATCTGCAAAACAAAGGGGTGCCTGGACTACACTTCAGCAAATTTAGCTAGCTGTGCGCATCAAGTTTGCAAGATGGCGAGATGCGGCCCACATGTCCATGGCTGCCAGGTGAGGCGATGCAGCTTTGGCGCCGACCACCTGCAAACGAAAGCGGGAAAAGCACTGCGGTGTCAGGCCTTGGCTGCCTCTGGGGCCATGAACATTAAGGTCCCACAAACTGCACCATCCCAAGGCTCACCTCCAAACATTCTAAGGGACACGACACGTGGGCTGTGGCAGCTGTGGCAGCTGTGGCAGGCACCAAGGCTCATGGCAAAGCCAAAGTCCAACAATGCCAGGCGAGCATCCTCAGCCTCTCAGCAAACATAGGACGCCTCCGAAACTTCCAATCCTCCTGCTGCATGATTCACCGGCCTTGCTTCGAAATCGGAAATTGGAGAGCTTGACCTTTGGGTCTGTGCAAGCCCTGAAGTCAACGGGAACACGGCATGAGGACAAATCCACGCCTTTACAGGCCACCAAATCTTGGAAAGCTATTTGGCGATGTTGCAACTGGGGCGAGGCACCGCGCGCCTGAAAAAAAGATTGTGGCGCGAATCTATCCCGGAGGTGGCGGACTTGCTTTTGAGACATCGATTGTTTGTCTCGTGCAGCTCAGAGAGCCAGAAAGAACGAGAAGCAGTGGACCACACAGCAATCATGCCGATTGAGGAAGCCCTGTTACGCTGCCCTGAAGAGCAAAATGTTTCGAGGGAGGCTCTATTGGAGATGATTGGCAGATCAAGAGGTGGCGCCTTGGTTTCATCCCTTGGCTCTACTTTTGGTCAAGTAGCAATACAAGTGCAACATTACTCAGCAGCATTCAAGGCCTAAAAAACATGTCAGATGTCAGTTGCAACGTGCAGCACTGAGAGCGGCACGTCTCTGTGAAGCAAACCGACAACATCGTGAAGATGCCTGACTGGGTGGGGCAAGCCGTCTCGCAATATCCCGCCAATCTTCCCCCAGCATTGCCATCACCAAGCCAAGCTAAATTTGTAAGTGTTGGGCGCCAGCGCTTGCAAGATCTCCATCATCACACGTTGCAGGTACGCCTCGCGCCAGCTGCTAGTGTAGTGTTCTACCCGGACTGAATAGATCTCCGCCTCCGTCATGGGGAAAAGCTCCTCGCATGCCAAAGGTATAGCTGAACAAGAATGCGCAAGCTATGGACAAGCATCGATCAACTTCCCATCCTCCACCTGGTCCATCAGCTCAGCGCCAGTGAGCTCCTGAAAGCGCACGCGGTGCTTAGCTGCGCAGCTTCCAGTCTTGACGCGCCAGACAGCGTTTGCGAGACCGACCTTCCTGACAGTCTGCAATCAGCCCATGGATCGCTTTGCGCCGCAATCGCTTCTAGAGTAGATTTTCCCCCATATTCTCGTGGGGTTCTAGTTGTTAGATGCAATCGCCCGCCGCCGCAGCGATTCTTCTGCGGTCGCGAACATTTCAGGGCGCGCGGTCACAACTGCCTTGAGACTTCTCTTCCAGACCGTCCTACGAACATTTCGGGCGCGCTCCAAATTGTCCTTAAGAATCCTTTACCAGACCCTCCCGCAAACATTTCGGTCGCGCTCCAAATTGCTTTTAAACTCCTCTTCCAGACCCTCCTGCGAACATTTCGGACACGCTCCAAATTGCCTGTAAACTCCTCTTCCCGACCCTCCTGCGAACATCTTGGTGCGCGCTCCAAATTGCCTTTTTGACAAATCTTCCAGACCCTCCTGCGAACATTTCGGGCGCGCTCCAAACTGTCTTTAAAAAATCCTTTTCCAGACCCTCCTGCAAATATTTCGTTCGCGCTCCAAAGTGCTGTTAAACTCCTCTTCCAGACCCTCCTGCGAACATTTCGGACACGCTCCAAATTGCCTGTAAACTCCTCTTCCCGACCCTCCTGCGAACATTTTGGTGCGCGCTCCACATTGCCTTTTTAACAAATCTTCCAGACTCTCCGGCAAACATTCGGGTCGCCTTTTAAATTGCCTTTAAACAAATCAGTGCGCTCCAAATTACCTTTAAACGCATCAGCAACATTTCAGGCGCGCTCCCATTTGCCTTCAATTTCCGTTTTCAGACTCTCCTGGAAACATTTCAGTCGCCCTCTAAATTGCCTTTAAAATTCCTCTTCCAAAACTCTCCTGGGAACACGTCCCTCGCCCTCTAAATTGCGCATTAACCCTGAGCGCTGCTGCTTTTCTGAACTTTGCTGTGGAGATGGGTCTGTACTCTAGGAGGTCTGTCGCTGGTGTAGGTGTCTGCGCCGTTCTGCCATGGTTGTTGGATACCATCCTGCCAAAGCCCAAAGACGGAACACATAGTAGATGCGATAACCTTCTTTCCCCAAGCAGGAAAGTTTTGGGGTCCTCTTCAAAAAAGAAGAACGCGGCGGCTGGAGGGGCTGCGCGCGGCGAAGACTGTGGGCCCGCGGAAGAGAAAAAGAACGGGGCGACTGGATGGGTGGCACGCAGCGTGGCCCGTGGGCCCGCGGTGGGCCGGCGCAAGAAAAGAAGAGCGTGGCAGCTGGATGGTGGCACACGGTGCGGGCGGCGGGCCCGCGGTTATGATTATTGCATTGTAGCTGGATGGGTGGCGCACGGCGCGGATCTACGGGCCCTCGGTGGGCCAGCGGAAGAAAAGAAGAACGCGGGGGCTGGATGGGTGGCATGCGGCAAGGACCTGTGGGCCCGCGAAGGGCCTCGTGACCGAAACCCGCGTACGCTGGTTTGTCTGTTCCCCAAGCAGGAAACGTTTGGGGTCCCCTGTTTGAAGAACGATGCAGACCATGGCGGCTGGATGGCCTGTGGGCTGGCTGGGTGCCGGCGGCGGCTAGATCGGCAGCGGCGGCTGGATGGGCTTTACGGTCGCTGGATGGGGGGCTGAGTGAGTGGAGAGCTAAACTTGCCAGCTCAAGGCCGGGCTCAAAATGCTTCCATCTTCTCCTTCAACCCTACGCCCTACACCCAGAACCCTGCCAGGTTAAGGCACGAGATCAAAATCCTTCCAGTCTAACCCCAAAGCCCTCGACCTTGACCCCTGAGAACGAGACTCAAAACGACACAAAAGTCGCCTCCATGATCACGTAGAAGTTCTTTGCGCCCTCGAGCATGTCGAGATACACCGCAATGTTGGGATGCTTGGCCTTGACACGGCACCATGGGTTCGCCACGCATGGTGGCATGTTCTCGCCCCGTCCTCTTTGGACATGCGAAGGAGTTTCTCACCCAGACAGCGGTCAACCAGGAGCGCACGATACCTTGCTACCAGGTCGGCGTTGGAAGCATTAATGCTATGCCAGAAAATGCATCTTGCAACTCCAACATGCTGAGATGCCGTTCACCCGCTGCATCCTTGCGCACCGTCTTTATCACACATTCCGTGCCTGTGCCTGCAAAGCAAACAGAGACAAGGAGGCTATGCGGCTGACAGCTGCTTGGTTGCTGCAATTTGCAGATCTGGCGCCACACGAACAGGGCCTACATCCTGCAACTGTGCTTTCGACAGCCAATCTTTGCTGTTGGCCCCCCCTTTCATGTCTCTTACCCTGCAGACCTCAATTTTCAGACAGGGCCGCGAAAGCCACTATAGACAATCCCGAAACAGCGAGCTGAAACGCTCTTGCAAATGCCTTAAAATTGACGGCCGGCCTCAGGATTCCCCTGCACGGCCACTCCCAACCCCTGCATCAGCGCCTAGAAAATCACATAAGTTTCATCTGTCTGCACTTGGCAGCTCGTGCTCCTGGATCTAACCGTAAGATTTGTCATCAACCATTAGCAAGCACCTGCAATGCTGGATCACGGCCTTTGTGTTTGCATCTTCGCACAACTCCGAAGCTGCCCGAGCCCACAGACCTGATCTCTGAGCCACAGTCTTTGCACGTAAACATAAATGTTTGTCATGCGGCTCTCTACTTACCAACCCTTACGTACAGTATGCCTCCAAAAAACAGCATAAACCGACCCTCCAAAAGGGATAACGGATAGCATCAACCCAGCCATGGAACAGCCCACTGCAGATTTACTGCAGAGATCATGTCAACTAACGGTCAAACCGCCTGGAATTCAGTAGTCACTAGTGAACACGAGGAAGGCTTGTTGGGCTATGTCAGCTCTTGTCTCCCAAGGGCGAGGGTGAGCTGGTCTTAGCAGGTGTCTGCACAGAACCAATCAGAGAGCACCCTGGAATGCCGCTCGAACACGCCATACCAAGTTTAGAGAAGGAGCTCGTCAAGGAGCTCGTACAGGTCCTTCCATAATATGCTGTATGTCGATGCGTACAGCTGTTGACCCAAACGAGCTCTGGCCTGCAGCTTTGTCTTGTCATTGGAGTTCTGCAGCTTTAAATCGATCCTTAGATTGATTGACATTACTAAGAATGATAGTCTAGAACTATCTTGGCTTCTGTTTCAGAATGATGGGAAAATGATGGGAACACAGGCAATAACAAACAGGAATCGGTGCAAGCAACTAAAACATGAAATAACGGAAAACGCAAGGAAAATCATGGTGACAGAAAGAATGACATTCATTCGCAAAGGCAGAGCGTTTTAATCACACGCATGCTACCTATGAGACCCACTGGCATCTGGTTCCCAGCTGAAAGGTCGTGAGGGAACAGCGGCTCCCCACACCGTCAGTTTTTGTCTTACAAAAAAGGACGACAGCAGTCATAGTCCTTTGTCTCACAATACTAAGTGCTATCTATATAAATGCCTTGTAGCCTGGCAAGTTGCCATGACAGTAGGTAAGAAAACATCAGGAAGAGCAGTAATACTGGAGCAGAGCAGCGCAGCGTAGGGTAGCAAGTGCAGCAATAGCCATGAGATGGGAACTAACGGACGACTCCGCGGTTAGCCAGAGCTTCTCTGCAACATCGAAGTGGGCATAATTTCACTTGCCTGAAACGCCATATGGTAAAAGAAATCGCAAAACTAGAATGGAGCGTGGAATGGAACATAAACAGAATTGTGTTGAGGATGTATCTGCTTTCCGCATGCTCTTGGGCCGTACAACTGGGTCAATAGGATAATCTGTGAATAAAACCTGGCATGACCCTATGACGTTACAACTAGGTGAATAGTGGTGGTAATGGGAATTGCGGAGGGCCGTGGACAATCCCGACACTTCACAACAGGAATAGCAAAGCTGTAGTTGAAATCATGTACATATTTCGCTTGCACAAAAGAAAACTGCCATCAAAGTAGGGCAGGTAAGGATACTGCCTGTTCCATTGCGAGAGCAATCATGACACGAAGAACAACAACTATGTCGTTGTAGTTGAAGACTATTTGCATGACAAAAACCAAATACGGTCATGAGAGCGCTAACAAAAAACTGCGCCAAAAATGCTCATGAAGCCAAAAACAGAAGCGCAGAACAAAGCATGCCTTCTTCTGTTCTTGCAGATGCTGCACTGTTTCTATGGAAGAAGGAATGGCAAGGGCATTCGCAACATTCATACTTATCAGCAGGAACCCACACAGCAGAGTGTCTCCTGTCTTTCCTTGTTTTCGTTTTTGCTTTCTTTGTTGCTCCTCCGTGGGTCCTTAATTTGCCGAGTCCTGCAAGATCCTGCTAGAACTTGTTCAAATCTAGTAGAAGATCTCACGAGGCTTTATAAGAAAAGAAGGATTCCTGGGAGATGACCACAAGGCCTTGAGGAAATCCGATGACAACACCAAAAGATTTCCTACTAAGTCCAGCCAGCCAGGCAGCAAGCCCATGATCTGTGAAGCAGCTCGGCTTGCGGACTTTGTTCCAAACGGCTCACTGCCCAACATGTTTGGCTCAGTTGAAATGAGGGCGCAGAGAGAACTTTGTTTCCACGGCCCTGGCTCATACTCGACACTGGCCCGGCACTCAGCGAAGCTACGGGCTAGCAAGCTTGCCGTTTTGCACCATGACAGTGCCTCGACCTGGCCACCAAAACACATTCGCGGGTGTGCAGTCATAAGATCTCATAAGCATGGGAAGCCCTGCTGCTCGACTCAATGCAATGCAGACACAGCATTTTGGGACTGCATTGTCGAAGCGTTGAGTTCAGACAGTACGGTGCGTCTGCAGCTGACCGAATTCCAGCCGTTTGAAATGCCCTGATGGCTGCGCCAGGAAAGCTTAATCTTCAGATCGACTGAACAAGGGGCATGCCATGACCAATCAGCTGAACAGTGTTAGCACGGGGCAGCTGAAGGCCTGGGTGAAACGAACTAGTGTAGCACTCAAATCATCGCAGCAGGTCCGGGAAGGGTGGCAAGTTTGGTCGATTCCCAACTGAAAGGGGCACATTGTCGCCTCCAGGGCCATCGCGCTTTGGTGGCACAATGGGCTTGGAGCCTCCAGCTGCATGGGCCATGCGGCGACGCGAGCCCACCACCGCTGACTCAAAGCGCCGAACAATTCGCAATGAAATCTCGTCCAGTCCAGCTACCATGCGCTCGCTCTCAGCAAGAGAATCATCCATCAGGTCCATCTTCGTTGCTAATGCATCTGCCTGACAGTGAACAGATGGTAATCAAATCAGGGCCAACCAGAAACATGCTGAAACGCGACTTTTTTTTGAAGTCACGCCTGGGCCATGACTGCCAGCATGTCTTTGCTCATTGCATGGCCTTTAAGCTTTGCACAGCCCTGGATGAAGTCCGTGTAGCTAAGAGTCTGCGAGCCATCGCCATCCAGCACGCCAAACAGTTTAACTGTTTCTGCTACGGGTAGTTCAAGCATCTTCATTCGCCACTGCACCTCTGGGTTCTTCACGGCCGCAAGGAACTCATCTCTATCAAGGCTGTTGCTTCCATCTGTATCTGAGATGAGGAAGATTTCCTTGATGCTGTCCAGCTCAGCACGCTGGGCTTTTTCCTCACGGACCCGCAGACGTTGTTTGTTTTGAAGAGAGGCTGCCAAAGTCTGCTCCACGATAACACTTACAAGGATGTTCATGATGCCGAAAGTGGTGACAAGGAGGAAAACGCAGAAGAAGGCGATCATGTACCATTGGTTGACGGCAACGTGTCGCACCACCTGGAGTCAAGCACAAGTTCACTGTATCAACACGCAAGAATCCAACCAGAACGGTTTGCTTGCGCTTCATGCAGAAGCAGGGGAAGAGACGGGGTTTGGAGTGTAGGTGTTTGGCCTTCGCTTTACTTAGGACTTAGGGTGTCCTCTTCTCTGTTCGGGCTCTTGGCGCTTCTACGTAGTAGATTGCCCGAACTCGACTCGATGAGGCGCAGCATTTGGGTGCCTGCCTGACTCGGAACAGTAGAGGGAATCAAGGACCCCCAACCCAGTTAGCAAAAGGCTGCCGAATCATCTTAAACTGCTTGCACCTCTTTCAGGCTGGGGACCTAGTGTGCGGTAGCCCGATCTCAGATTGCGAGCTCGACCCTGCAAGTTAGATGAGGTGTGAGGAAGTCTTTGTGATAAAATGGCACGGGTCTGGGCTCCACGCTTGCTACGAGGCAGGAAAATGTCCGGCCTTGCTGAGCCAGCTGTCAAGCGTCATGACTTGCATCAACGTAAACATGCTTCGGCCCACTGTTCCAAATAATTCTTCATGATCCCAACCACCGCTGAGCTTTCGGTAGTTCCCGTAGACTTCGACATTGTGACCGATCTGTTGTGTGAGGATCACAGCAGCAATGTAAAGGACGACAACTAGGAGGACCACAGTCCAGAAAAGTGTCTGCATCGAATCCTTGAGACTCTGCAACAGGAGCCGAAGCTCATCCAAGCGCCGGTACCGCTTGATCAGTTTGTAGAGACGTGAGATGCCGACTATGCGAAACATTGAGAACATCCGAAGGACGCCGGAGACTCCAATGGGGTTCAAGATGGTGCAGTCGATGAACGCCATGAAGCAAATGAAGATGGTCAACATGTTGGAGAAACTATAAAAGGCCCATCGCCAAGTGTGGTAGTACATCTTCAGGCCCACTTCACCCAAAAAGCAAAGAAGAAAGAACACCTCAGCCACGATCCAGCTAGCATCCCTCTCCCTTGAGTCTCGTCTGACATCTGTCTCAAGACCAATAATGAAGGCATTCAGCACAATGATGCAGCTGATGACGATGTCGAAGGCAGCACTATCCACCCAAATTTTGTCCTGTTCTTCCTCCTCCTCTACCACGCCGTTGTCGAATGTGCGCATAATTGCTGCGATTTCCTTCATTTTTTGACTCTCGTGTGAAAGCTGATCTTTGCGGCCAAGCTTTTCCGCGAGGAATGTGTCCCATTTGATCTTCATCTGGGCGAACAGCCTCCCTATTTTGGCGCTATCATCGTTCTCGTTCCACAAACTTGGCTCATCTGTATGAGCTTTGCCACTCGCCATCTTAAAGGCCAATGGGACGGAACCTCGCTTCACATTCGGCCTAAAAATTTTGCATGCTTGGGCCAGAAGCGTCAGCCGGCATAGGCTGAGAGAGAACATCAGGCTCACGCATGCCAAGCAACCACGGCAACTCATTGCTTAGGGGGCATGTAAGTACACACAGGCACAAATCTCTGCACAGAAGCTGCACCGAGTGCAACAGGCATGCGCACCTAGGAACTGCTTGGCAACTGAACCCAAGCAAGCCATGATGGACATAGTAGGTTTCAGCTTTCATGGGAGTCTTGAATCCAAAGTCCATGCGTGTGATATCATTTCAAGTCCTTCTGTACGAGCTGGTTGAAGCTGTCTGCGCCTGCTCTTGGGCCAAACTTTCCGCTGAACGCGCGACGTGCTGGGCAGTCGCTACCACTTCAATGACTGGCCTTTTGGCTGCAGTCCAACGACCTGGTTTCATGACTAAATCTGCCAAGTGGCGGCGGCCCTGCACTTTCACTGTAACCTAGAGACACGCTTGCCAGGCCACCAGCCTCCAGCGCATCTCCGGCAGACACGTGCTTGCAACTCGACTCATTGGGGCTCTGGCCCAAACACGCCAGATGTCTGTCGCATCTTCGGACGGATCCACAGCCTGCAAGCTCGTGCAACTTGTGAGGTTGCGGAAGCTTCACACACGTGCTCGGGTTGACCACGTGTAATCCCTCGCTGTGGATGTTGTCCCACACTCCTTGTCTCAGTGTTGCTCCTTGCTGTGCCAAAGTTTGCACGCTGGCGAATTACAACGCATGCCTATGCCATGTTCGCCCGGAGGTGGACATCCACGCGTGAGCAACACATGCTCTCCTAGGGCTTTATTTCCCTCCCACGAAGCGGACCTTGCGACCTAACTAGGTTGTCCACACTTCATGGTCTCCTCCGGATTTCTTCCCGTGCAGGAATCAGTATAGCCAGCCCTTCCGCTCCGACTCTGCAAAGATTTTGGGTGCCAGCTCAAACACGGGAATCTTGCGATGCACATGTGGGTCCTGTCCTTGCCCTTGGTGCCTCCGTGCGGGAAGCTCGTACACACAATTGGGCCATGCATCAACTCATCTCTGGACTTAGCCCTGTATTAAAGAGGAAAGCACGATAAGTTGACGAAACGAGCTACACCTTGTTTAGGATATGTGTTCTTGACTGCCCCCCCTGATCCTTCTGCATAAGACCTTACACGAATTGGGGGGGAAGTGCAATGCTAGCTGAAACCTGCAAAAGCTCACCATTCATGTTTCATGTCGAGACTGAGAGGTAGGACAGTTAGGAACCCCGCGCTCAACGCCTGCCCCTCGCCGTAATGCAACAAAACCCAGCGGGAGACTTAATTCTTGGGGCGGGCTTATTGTACAGGCTGCAAGGGTGCCTTTTTATTAGCACGGGCTGTGTTCCGAGGGCGCGTTTGTATACACAGCTGCCAGTGAGCAAGAATGATCGAATCATACATACAGACCCCAACCCTCGGGGCAAGGGTTGCAGCCCTTTCATCGATGATATTGATTACATGTGTTGGAGGGGCTAGAAGGCATTTTAATGCCTCTGAGCATTTTTCAGCAGCAGTGATGAAAATATTGTGGAACCCTTGACCACTCAAGGGGCCTGCAAATGGTTCGTGAAGCCTGCTTCCGCGCCAACGTACACTCCTGGCAGCTGGCCCTCTTTTACTCCCTGCGTGCCTATGACTGCCACAGGTCTGAGAAATCACGCTGAAGTCCACTCTGAGTAAGCCGCGTTGGTCAGGATCCCATTGCTCCGCATCCCAGTATGCGCCACTGTTGACTTTCTTCAAGCCGCTCTTCTGACGCTCCTGGTGGCCATTGTTGTGGTCTGCACGCAACTGTATTCATCACATAACTTGCAAAGAGGCACAGCATGTATGAAAAGTCATCTTTTGTGCTGAACTACCGAACAGCCGGCAGCCTCCAATTCTGAGTCTCGCTTCTGAGTGTCTTTTGAAATGCCAGACCTGATGCAATGGGCCCGCAGCAGCGTTATCTAAACTGAAGCCTTGCGGCTACTGTGTCCAGCGACATCAAGAAAGCCGTTAATTATTGCAGCACGCCGCAAACCAACGCATACCAGCCTGCAACCGGGCAGAACCACTTCCACTAATGATCACGCATATCCTCATGTCAGTTGCGTACTAAATCATGTCAGCCCTTGCTCCTCCCTACGTCACGGAAATGGCTGGCATGATTTACTACGCAACTGGCACGGAAATTAACCGCAAGTATCTGAGAAATCCACTGTAGCCCTGTAGCCCTGCCTCCTGTCCCTCCAATCCCCTTTTGAACTTTGGGCAAATTGCCAACAGGTGAGTGAATTCTCAGACAGACAACATGTATGAACAGCTAATGATGCCGGTCGACTTTGATGAAACGGAGACACCTGAGCTCATTTTCTAACATCCCTGCAATTTTCCTTCACGATCAGGGAGCACTTCGCTTGCTTTTACTTGTGCATGCTGCGCTCTCTGCAAAGCCATGGATACGGAGGATGCTTACAGAGTTCTTCCGTGTGGTGGCTATGCAGACATGTGCGGGTGGTCCTACCTGCCACTTCTTCTTCACAACAACGTCAGCAACATCTAAGGAATCCTTCTGTGGCCCTCATTGTGAGCGAAACCGCTACTTCAAATCAGTAAGACGGCTTGCGTGGCCGCTGAAACACAGTGGAACGTGGAGCCCGAGCCCAGCACGCATTTGGAACAGGAGCTGGAACGCCTGATCCGTCACAATGATTGTCGAGGCAGGACCAGGCCTGAACTCGGGCCTGATTTACCATCACGGTAGCTGTCCCAATACCTGAGAAGTAGGAGTTCTGTCGTTAGAGATGATCACTCGGGTTGTAACATAGTATAACTTACAATGAGGTCGACATGTCGGGTTCTAGCCTTGATGTTCAGTGCACCCGTCCTGCGCTCAGCACGAGTCGTGTCACCAGCAACCACTCTACAAAGCATCGGCGTCTGCTACAGAGCACACTCAACTACGTACATAAAAGGCGAAGGTCTGTAGCCTCATTAGACAACACGGCAGTCTTGATCTTTGGGAAGGGTGAAGCCCCTTTATCAGAGGCTGGCCTACCCTACATTGCCAAACTTTCAGCCCAAGACTGCTTGCATAGGCTTGCCCAGTGATTGCATGACCCCGATGCTGCGCTCTGGCAGACATGTTATGGGGCTTGTCATAACAAGAAGTCACTCAGTCAGTGAGAAAGCGACTTGCTGACGATGCCGATGCCTCCGGCCATGCTGTCAGCATTACGTGTACTATCACTTTCAAGAGGCACGAACATGGTGCTTAGCCGTCTGTTAAGTGAAGGAGCCTCTAAACGATGCAAAATGTGTTACTGTTTGGGAACCGCTCAAAAATACTGAATCCTGGAACTGATGCAAGCCAAGCAAATTCTGACAAGGATCATTCTGCATCATACAGCTACCTGCCCTACCCAAACTTGAAGCACAACCCGCAACCAGGCAGGATTGAGATGCGTCCAACACAGCTCTAGCAAACTTGGAGGGGTCACCCGGATCCATCTGCCTTTGGAAGACTGCCACTGCCTGGTTGCCACATACAGGCACATTCAATCCCTGGCGGCTCAAACTGCTATCTTAACATGTTCCGCCTCCAGCGCTTGAGGCATGATGGGCATATGCTTGACGAGGCCTGATCACAGCATCATGGCCGTATGATGAACGCACGTGCACCAGGCTTTGCGACAGGCATTCTCGTCTCATATCACGTGTCTCGACGGTATGACTGTACGGGGATGTTTGCGGCTCGACTTCCAACAGCTTTCCTTGCAGCTGGCCTCTGCAGGAGCTTCAACGGTATCAACACGAATCTGAGGCGACAAGTGAGGCCCTTTGTGCCCAATCCTTCCCCGCAGCTCTCCTCACATTTCCTGAAATGCAGAACGACTGGACTGAGACATTTCTCATCATTTCTCTGTGGAGGTTGGAGTGGACTTGCCAAACTCGACCCCAAACAGCAATCGAGGGCCACTGCTTGCCATCTTTGGGCACAAGACAGCACGCCCCTTGTCCCGGGCTCAGCATCAGACGAGCATCACAGCACCCGAGTTTTTACCCATATCACCAACACAGATGAATGAATGACAAAGAGGAGAAACATCGGAGAAAGACAGCTGGGAGACACAAATGAAACACAAATAGAAACTGGTAGGAGGCAACTGGCAGACAAGGGATTTCACCACTTGCAGAGCTGCTCCTATTACAAATAGAGACAAAAGGAAGACAAAGGGGAGACAAAAGAGTCCAGCAGTCCCGGAGCGGCATCACAACATTCACGGTCTTCTCCCATCACAAAGAGAAACAAATGGGAGGCAAAGAGGAAACGAGTGAGTTCACCACTCCCAGAGCGGCGTCACAGCAAAAGGACAACAAAGGGGAGGCAAATGGAAGACAATTGCTGTCCCAGAGAGGCATCCTTGTTGCATCACCATGCGAAACAGAGTCAGGACAAACATAGAAGATAAAGGGGACTCCAATGAAAGATAACTGGGAGACAGTTGGGGGACAATCGAGCCCCCAGTCCCACGGAAGCATCACGGCATCCACCGTCTGCCCATGCCACGAAGAAAGACAACCGGAAAACAAAACAGGAGACAAATGAGTCCAGCGATCCAGGGCAGATCCAGGGCGGCATGGGAGCATCCATGCTGCAAATGCAAAGAAACGGGAGGCAAGGGAACCCACCAGTCCCAGACGGGCGTGACATTATCCAGGGTCTGCTCTCTTCACTCTCTTTTTCTTTGGACTCTTTACAACGGGAAAATCCATGCTGAGAGACAACTGTTCGAGTAGTGCTGCGAGAAATCCAAAGGGGCGCTTTGAGGCTATCAAGACCTGTTTTGTGGAAGAACTCGGCACTGGTCGCACAAGAGGGTTCATGTAGACACGCAAGTTATACGCAGTCCTGAGACTACTGCATGGCTGGATTGCCAAACCACATCATAAGTCATAAGCCTCTGCTTAGATCTGGCCAACCAAGCTTCCCGCAAAACCCCAGCATCTGGAAGTGGTGCGGCATTGCCAGCCTAAGGCGTGCATGCTGGAAAGCGCTTAGAATGCAACATGGTGGTGCGCAGTTGCCAGTAACTAGTACCAGTAGCTAGATGTAGCTAGTAGCAGCGGGGTGCGCACAAAAAAATGGGCGGAAGATGTCTCAAGTGCCTCCACAGCGGAGTCCCAATAATCTCCGCTTCTGGCATTCACCGACTGGAAAGCGAGCTGGTGCCGAACAGCCTGTGAAGCAACAAGGTGCTGAAGCTAAGCTATCTGATAAAGCTATTGCGCGGTCATCTCGCGCGGTACTGGGAACAACGTTTTCAAATGCTCGATTTACCACTCTGTACACTGGCTAGTGGCACCTCAGGCAGCCTGAGCACGTCTTATGCTCGGGGGGGTGCGCAACTTTGAACTGTGTACCAACCTTGGTCTTGGACCAAAAGGAAGCGCGGGCCCCGATTCTGCCCCTCGCATCCCCGTGTTGTAAAGTTACGGGAGAAAGAACACTAAAGAGCTTTGACTGAACAATGCTCAACGTGGCGCAGGTCTCACCCTGCCTGAAAATACGTGCTCAGTGCTGGCGCCGCACTGAGGATCTGTGTAAGCTCATCCGCTGCCTGTTTGATGCTGCGCTTGGTGAATTGACAGTCTCAACTCTCTTGGACCCCTCTAGTCAAAGCCCCATAGCTACCCCATGCAACTGGACCAGCCTGCATTCAGTGAGTCTGACTTCTGTACGGGTCCCGGTGATGGAAAACAGTCACACGTCACACGTCTGATCCGACTGTCAGCCTATGTAGTATTTTCTCAAAACCGGTTTGGGGTGCGTTCTCCGGGGCGACTATGTTTCGCGTCTGACATTGGTGGCGTGTTGGATAGTCTGGGACGACGGAGGAGGGTGATACCCTTTTATTTTTCTGCCTGACCGGGTAATGCAGGGTTGAGGCGTGAGTCGGGAAAAAGAAAAGGCGTGGCTCAGGAAAAAGAGGCGTGAGTCGGGAAAAGGGGAAGGCGTGAGTCAGGAAAAAGGGAAGGCGTGAGTCGGGAAAAAACGGCGTGAGTCAGGAAAAAGGGAGGAAAAAGGGAAGGCGTGAGTCCGGAAAAAGGGAGGCCGTGAGTCGGGAAAAAACGGCGTGAGTCAGGAAAAAGGGAGGCGTGAGTCGGGAAAAAGGAAGGCGTGAGTCGGGAAAAAGAGAAACCGCGGATCGGGAAAAAGCGAAGGCGTGAGTCGGTAACCAAGAACATGGGAAAAGGAAAGGCGGTCAGGCAGCTGACCTTCTGGATGTTCGGATATTCGCCTAAATTAATATCTGCACCTGGTTTGCCTGTGTCATGTCTTCCTACTTGTCGCAACGTGAAAAGGTGGTTTTAACATATGTCCGTACCAGCCTTCCCTCTCTCAACTGTTTTTTTTTCTGCATCTTTAGCAAGCTGAAGGGGAAATCTTGACATATGTGCGTACCCGGCCTTTTTCCTCCTGCTGTTATGTCTTCCTACTTTTTGCAAGGTGATAAAAAAGGGGTATGCCTGTACTTGGCTCGCCCTCAATCATGTCTTTTTTTACTTATTGCATGGTGAAAAGGGGGTGGTGTGCAACATATGTCTGTACCTAGCTTTCCCTGTCATGTCCTTCTACTTCTTGCAAGGTGATAAGGGGGGGTTTTCACCATATGTTTGTACCTGGCTTTCCCTGTGTCATGTCTTTCTACTGATCGCAAGGTGAGAAAGGGGGCGGTTTTAACATATGTCCGTATCTGGCTTTCCCTGTATCATGTCTTCCTACTTATCGCAAGGTGGACATATGTCCGTACCTGGTATTTCCTGTGTCATGTCTTCCTACTTACCGCAAGCTGAAAAAGGGTTGGTTTAACCATATGCCTGTGCCTAACTTCCCTATGTGATGTCCTTCTACTTATCGCAAGGCGAACAAAAGGGCGGTCCTATGTCATGTCCTTCTATTTATCGCAAGGCGAACAAGGGGGTGGTTTTTACGGATGTCTGTACCTGGCATGCTGTTCTTCCACTTATCGCAAGGTGAAAACGGGATGGTTTTCACATATGTGTGTACCTGGCTTCCCCTTGTCATGTCTTCCTACTTATCACAAGGTGAAAAGGGTGGTTTTAACACATGCCTGTACCCCCGGCTTTGCGTGTGGCATGCCTTCCTACTTATTGCAAAGTGAACAGGTCTTTATATCCTTCGCAAGATGAAAGGGAGTTTGACTAGTGTGCTTACCAGGCTTTCTCCCTCTCAGCAGTCATGTCTTCCTACTTATCGCAAAGTGCAGAGGGGTGGTAGTAACACATGTCTGTACCTGGCTTTCCCTATCGAAAGTGAAAAAGAGGTGGTGTTTACATATGTCTGTACCTAGCTGGCTTTGCCTCTGTCGCGTTTTTCTACCTATTGCAAGGTAAAGCGTGGGTGATGTAAACACATGCCTGTACCTAGATTCCCCTCTGTCATGTCCTTATACTTATCGCAATGTGAAAAGGGTGGGTGTAACACATGTCTGTACCTGGTTTTCCCACTGTCATGTCATGTCCCTCTTCTTATCGCAATGCGAGAAAGAGGTGATTTGGACCTCTGTCTGTACCTGGCTTCCTATGTCATGTCTTTCTACTTATGGCAAGGTGAAAAGGGGGTGGTTTTAACATATGTCTTCCCACTTATCGCAAAGTGAAAAAGACAGGTTTCACATATGTCACTACTTTTCTTCCCTCTCCCAAGTGTCTTTTCTGATTATCTGTTGCAAAATGAAGGGGGTTTTGACGTATGTGCGTACCTGGCTTTCTCCTTCTCAGCTATCATGCCTTCCTACTTCGCAAAGTGAGAAAGGGGTGGTTTTAACATGTGTCTGTTCCTAGCTTTCCCTCTGTCATGTCATTCTACTCATCGCCAGGTGAAAACGAGGTGGTTTTAACGTATGTGTGCACATGGCTTCCCTCTGTCAGCTGCCTTTTCTTTACTTCTCGCAAGGTGGAAAAAGTGATTTTAGCAGTTGTCCGTACCTGCTTTTCTCTTGAGTCGTAGGTTTTTCCTGACTCGCGGGCATTTTCTTGACTCGTGCCGTGTATTTTTCCTGACTCGCGGTCTTTTGCCTGACTCGTGCCTTTTGGTTTTCCTGACTCACGGCCTTTTTCCTGACTCGCGGGCG